TGCGGAGGGCCATGTTGGTGATGCGCGCGGCCATTGGAGACATTTTGGAGTCTTTTTTTCGGGTACAGTAATTACTGATCTTGTTTGAAGACTGTGAATATCAAGTAGGATTTATTCTGATCTCTTGGTCATTGATAACGCGCCGAATCTGTCGTATTTATCTTTCTCGTCGCTATTTACGACCCGAGCGTCTCTGCTACGATATTTACGAAGGATGCGTCAGGCGTCATCCTTAAACGGCATGGTAAGGCGTGAGGCGCCACCGAGACCGGCTGAGCCCGGAACCCGATCCCTCGGAGCGCATCGGGTCAGATTTATTCATTCATTCGCCAATCAAACCTGCTTGGAAGATGACATTCTTGGTTCAATAGGTGATTCATATTTCGCGCCTGGTGCAACATGTTCTACAACTGCCCGTGAGCCATAATCTATCCGCACAGCAACGCCAATCCAATGCAACGTGAACGCCCCTCATTTCTTAATCGTAAGCGGCTTGAACGGCTTTCGCAGCCGGTCTATGGGTGCAATCCCCCCTTCCTTCTTCAACGCCACGGGTCTCTTAAAACCCCCAAATCCGTTCGTCGTTGTCGTAGCATGCAAACAGCTCGCCGGGCGCTCCCGTATCGCCGGCGGCACATCTTTGTCTTCGTTTTCCTTCTCTGGTCTCGGTGGCGAGCTCGAGAAGTTTGCGTAATGTTTCTTTGGCCCTGCATCGCCGTCGAATGCTGGTTTCGACGGCTTGGAGGGCATCCTGTTGGCGCCTAATTTGTGACTGGCGAGACCAGGCTCGATAGCTGGCGTGGGGGCCTGCCCTCGGTGCAGATTTGGCAGCTCGGGCATCTCCTGGAGAGGATGCCGCGGGGGAGGGGCGGGCATGCTGCTAGTGTCTGACATGTCGGACCTCGATCGCTTGACGAATCCCAGGAGGCTCTGCTGATCGGCCGGGCGCTTAGTTGTCCCTCTCCTGGGGCCTGTCGACTTTTGCGGCGCCTGGCGACGGTCTGGGCCTTGGACTGACGCTGCCATTTCTTTCGCGGCAGCCTGTATCGCCGACTGAGCCGCGGTCGCGGTTGTGAAGCCGGGGAGGGACGACATGGTAAAGCTTGATGCCGCATCCATTGTCGTGGCCGTTCCAGAGGTATGCCATGATGGGGCCACCTGAGGGTCTTCCTCTGAAGCCAACGCCATCTGCGGCCTAGCGCGCCGCTGCCATTGACGATTTCTGTCGTTGCCCCCATCTCCAAACGCATCCTCTGGGTTCTCGGGGTACAAGTTGTCTTCCGGTCGTTCCATCAGCGGCATCTCGCTAAAGACCTTGTTCTGCGAGGGAACCTCGGACTCTCGCCCGAGTATCCGGCCAACCTCTTGTAGCACACCAGGTTCAAACGACGGACCGCGCTTCCTAAAGTACGGATGGATCTCCGAAGGGATGAACTTGGACAGCTCGGTGCGCTCGCCCCCGTTGCCTCCGTTTGACGAACTGTACATGGGGCAGCTGAGGTAGAGCAGGGACTTGGCTCGCGTCATGGCCACGTACAGGAGCCGGCGTTCTTCGTCCATGTCTTCAGACCGCGCATGCGGGATGGACCCGTTGTACACCGCCGGGACGAAGACGGCCGGCCACTCGAGTCCCTTGGCTGCGTGAATCGTCGAAATGGTCACCAGAGGCTTGCCTTCGGTATCACCCTTTTGCGCGTCTGATGCCAGGGAGACGTTTGCCAGAAACCGGCCGAGAGCGTCGTTCTCCTGGACCTGCTGAACCCCATCGACCTCTGGGAGGCGATCCTCATCCGCCGTGGCACTCAGATCCCGCATGAAGTCGCCAGCTAAGCTGATGAACTCTTGAACGTTGGCCCACCGTGCCTCGTGGTCTTCCGGGTAGTTCTCCTGGAGGTACTTTTGGAAGTTGAGCTGGTTCAGGAGGCTCTCGATCATGTCCACGAGATGGTAATAGGGGCTTCCTGTCGGGGGCTCCTCGATTTTCCTCCTAATGCCCGAGATTATCCGAATCAGTTCGCCGCTGATTTTCTGCTCCATGGCCTTCTTGATGTTGGTCTTGGCAGTCCGGTCTCCTCGGCAGTGCTTGTTCAGCAGAGACCAGACACTAAGCTTGGCGCTCTCTGCCTCTTCGAGAAGCGACTTGATGGTGGCGTCGCCGATACCGCGACGGGGCACGTTGATGATGCGCGCAACGGCGTCGTTGTTGTCCGGCTGGTAAATGACGCGCAGGTAATCAAGAATCACCTTGACTTCTGCGCGGTCGTAGAACTTGAATCCACCAACCATGCGGTAAGCAAGTCCTGCCTTGCCAAGAGCCGATTCGATATGTCTGGAGAGCGAGGCGGATCGCAGCAGAATCGCCACGTCGTCGTAGTTCAACATCTTGCCTGCCATCAAGAGCATTCGCTTAATCTCCGAGACCATCCATTCGGCCTCGACAGCGGAGGATTTCAGTCGGCGCAAAACCGGCCGCGTCCCTTTATTGTGGATTGGTAGCAGCACTTTCTGGTATCGCCGCTTGTCCTGTTGGATAATCTTGAGGGATACATCCAAAATGGCCTGCGATGATCGGTAGCTTTCTTCCAGGGAGATTTCATCAGTCTTTGGGTAGTCCCTCAGAAGGCGGTAGAGGTTCTTGATTTCGGCTGATCGCCAGCCGTAGATGCTCTGGTCCGGGTCGCCCACGATGGTGATTCTCTCACGGGCCTGCGCAAACAGTTTCATGAGCTCGTACTGGATGCCGTTTGTGTCTTGGTACTCGTCAATGAGCACAGCCTGCACGTTGGCGACGCAGGAAGGATGCTTGCGCAGCAGCTCCACGCACTTGGTCAAGAGATCGTCGTAGTCCAAGAGATTCGACCGCTCCAAGTGATTTTGGTACTCTCGGTAGCAAGTCTCCAGATCGGGGCTTTCCGGCTTAGAGGCCTTTCCTTTGGGAGGGCTTTGGACGTCACCCTTGGCCTTTTTCTTGCTGATCCAGGACCTCGCCGCCGGGGGTTCCACTCCGAGCTGGAAGCGTTTGCATATCCTCTGGATGATGGCCCTCGAGTCTGAGTCGTCTGCGATGCCAAACTTTTCATCAAGCCCAATCCGCTTGCCATATGCAGCCAAGTACCGACGCGCAATGCTGTGAAATGTGCCCAGAACGATTCGCTTCTCGCGATCACCTCCCAGTGCCCTGCCAATGCGTTCCTTCATCTCCCTAGCGGCCTTGACTGTAAATGTGGCCACAATTATCTCTGATGGCGCGTATCCGACATTGTCAACGAGCCATACGACACGTGAGGTCAGCGTGTGCGTCTTGCCACTGCCTGGCCCTGCTAGGATGGCTACCGTCGCGGCCTTGGACGTGACGGCTCGGCATTGTGCAGTGTTGAGCGTGGCCAGGATGGATTCAGCCGGGCCGGGGGCTGAACTCGACGAGTTCATCGTGTAGGGCGGTCATAGGAGACGTCAAGCAACTGAGTTGTCGTAAGGGAAGCGTGCCGGCTATCAGACTACAGACGCGTCTCGCCGCGCGACCATCAACACGCCAGGACCCGGCAGATCCCCGGCCCATACGGTGTCACGTGCACGTGTCTCGCTTGAGCACAGACCAAGCGAGATGTCCGCTCCCACTCCGGATAACCACTACTCCACCACCGGCTTCATCACCACTGCCACCGCCTCCGAGACATTGATAACTGTTCCCAAGCGGCCAGACCACCGGGCGACCCGGCTATCCAGGCAGCCAGTCTTGCTTCGACAAACGTCATCATTGAATCAAAGAAGCTTCCAACAACACCAGCCTTCACGAACTTATCCATCTCCGGATATCTATCAAACGTTCATCGGCTGTCCCCCGAGAGAGATACCACCCGCAGCGTTCGCGCTCGACGCTGCTGATTCGTCCAAATTGTTTCGATTTCCTCTGGCCATCCAGCTAGAGGGTGTCGAGAACGCTCAATCGGGACTCGGGTCAAGCATCGCTCGGACAAAGTTTGTTTTCGCTTTGATGACTCGCAAAGAGACATTATTCCCGCTGCAAGCGACGCGGACGTTTTCCCAAGGTTTTCTGGTTCGCAACAGCGCAGCTCAACGGGCAAACTCCAAATCAACGTCCCATCAGTCTAGAAGAACGGCGACGACGATCCTATCACGCATGCCATCACGGCCGCAAAGTTGCGATCATCACGCTTTAATGCTGACCACAATGTGAAGTCACACTGCGCAGAGATCCCATTCGAGGATGCCTGTGATAGCGATTCCGCAGAGGGCATGGTCTGTGCCATATGTCGTGGCCTATTGCAGCAGTGCGTATGCGGTCAGAGAGACGGGTGATGGGCCGACGCAGGGGATGCCCGCGGCGGCGACTGCTGGGAAGCCAAAAGACAGGACGAGATAGCGAGACGACAGCACAGCTGACCCGGGGACGCTCGTCTTTTCACATTCTTCTCACATCTTGAACCATGTCTCCTGGGACTATTCGGCCATGAGTGGCCAGCGGATTGGGGCCTCGCCGGCATGCATTTGCCCTGCATCAACGAATTGAGTTGGCAGAGTCAGTTCGTGTGTGGCACGGCGCGGGGTCAGATGTGACGAAGCAGCCCAATCACGACCCCGGCAGCCCTACTCGGCGCTTACGGCCCCTGCCATCACGTCGATCCGCCCAACCACATCTCGGGAAGCCCTTGGTCCTCCCGCCTCCTCTGCAGACGACATTAATAGCCACGGGCCATTTTGGGCGCTACTGCAATTCCATTGAGGTCGGCATCATGCAAGTGCGACCGCTTCGCAGACTCGTGCCTGGGGGCTTCAGCAAGTCAGAGTCGAGAGCACATGGCCAGCGCCAATCTCGACGCACTGCCGAACCTCACCAGCCGCTATATACCCTTTGTGCGCCGCATGACCGTGCCTTTCCATGTAACTTCTCCATCACAATGTGTTTCGGACCCTCCACCAGGAGGTAAGATCATCAAAGCTGGATTTGACTTTTAAAGACTTCCGGTGTCCTCACCACCATGAAACCCGTCAAAGCCCCGACACTTAACTCTCGACTTCGCTTCTCGACCCTCGCTCTTTTCTTCTTTTGCAGTTATACACACGCAGTGCCCTCCGCCCACGAGCCTCGCAACAACAATCCCCTCAACATCCAGTGGGGTCCTGCACCATCGCCCGAGGACGGTCCGCCCGCATCTGCAAACGCTTTGAGAGATCCCGCCTACCTGCCATATCAGATAGGCGCCATCGTCGGTTCTTACGGCGTGTCATTGGTGCTGGTCGCCGTTTTGCTGCTCGTACTGTCCAAGAGACGTCGCGAGGCCCTCTCCGCTGGCGACAACGAGGTCGACTTTGACGAACCAAAGGCGTCACCCAGGCCGCTGAGACTTATCTTGGAGGTGCCAAACTCGCCCAGAAGCATCCCGCGGAGCCCCGTCCGCAACTTTTCGTACCCGCCCCCGGAGGACTACCAGACCCCGGAAATCCCGTCTCCCCAGACGCCGTACGTGGCCCCGACGCCCACGTCAACACTGCACGCACCTGGAATCGACGCTTCCGTGGACCAGAGGATCGTCGCAAAAGACAAGAAGATGGCGCAGACACAGCTCGAGGAGATGTACAAGTACGTGATGGAGCAGGAGGAGGCCAAGGCGCAGGGCATCATACTGCAGGGCTCGCCGGTCCTCGCGAGCAACTCGCAGTTCCCGCCGCCAAACAGTGCCAACTTTGGCAAGCCGACGCTCAAGAAGGAGAAGCACAAGCCGGCCAACCTCAACCTCGGCGCGGAGCCCAAGCCGGAGAAGAAGTCCCGCGCGTCGTCCATCTTCTCGGCCCTGCGCTCCCCCAAGAAGGACAAGCACGTCAAGGGCATCAGCATCTCGTCCCCGATCATGACGCCCATGACGGGAAGTTTCCCGAGGCAGGAGTCCCAGGAGATGAGCGCCATCCCGCCGCGGCAATACGCGCCGCCGCCGCCTCCGCCGGTACCCACCAACCAGGTCCCGTACGGGGTGCACCAGGAGAACGGGCAGGTGTCGCCCATCACCCCGGACCACTCGCCGGAGAGCACGCAGAGCATTGACGAGCGGATCGGAGGACAGCTCCCGATTGGCCACGCCCGCAAGATCTCCGCGGCGCCGTCACACGCGTCGCATGCCACCTCTGATATGGATCCCAACTCGGCCACAACAGAGAGGTCAACGGCCCCGCTCATCGGCCTGCCGCAGTCCCCGAAGCCGGGTGCGCGCTTCCCCACCTTGCCCGCCTCCCCCAAACCCGGCGCCACGTTCCCCTCGTCTCCTCAGCCTGGGGCCACATTCCGGTCCAAGGCTCCGTCGGCTGTCCGCACTGGCGGCGCCCTGCCCCTGCGTGCATACGAGCCGGCCCTCAGCTCGCCATCCATGGCATCGCAGACCACCAAGCAGACCGTGTTCACACGCACGGGACCACTGTCGCCGTCGGGAGCCCGCACGCCGGCGACAGGCATGGCTGTGCCGTACTCGCCGTACCAGCCGTTCACGCCCATCGTGCCAATGACCCCGTCGCTGGTGACCAAGGCGGACCGCAAGCGGATGAAGAAGCTCGAGCCCAAGACGCCGACGTTGGAGATGGTCAAGAGCGAGGACGACATTTGGTGAGAGGTTAGAAAGGGGATATACCATATAGACTGTGGATAGCAAGGGCGACCGGGTTAATGCGATTACGATTTTCTTTGATGAAGAGGGGCGTTGTGTATCTCGAGATTTCTTTGTCCATACACTTGCAGCAGCAGATGCACCGCGTCCACGGAAAACATGCCACACCACCACCACACACCGGGCTGGCGGAAACACGGGTAGACGAGAGTCAGAGTCATGGCCCTAGGTGCATGGCGAGAGTCAGGAAAAGCAGGTCTGTCATGCTTCTGGAAACGCGAATCTAGCATCTAGGTATTTAATAGGGTTTTCTCTGCATTCTTGTCGAGTGCATTCAGGGTTCGTGCCATGTGTGTCAAGGACGAATAGGCGTTTCAGATGATTCAAATGAGAGTGAAGGGTGTCTCGCGTCTGCGTGTGTCTGCATGTGCTGATCGGCAGGGGTACGGCGAGGTTAACAGCAGACGGCCATGTTTGGCGGGCACGCAGAGGGAACGAAGCTGGGGTATGTTAGCGGCCTTGTCGAGGGCATGCGGGGGTGCTTGGCCGTGGGATCGTGGCAGGTCGAGTCGCAGCCATGCCCATTGTGAGACACTTGCGAGGCGGGTTGGTCGAGAGGGCGGGCAGAGGCAGGGGAAGACGGTCGGGGCGAGGCATTGCCCATTGTTCTGAACTTCTGAAGGCCGAGGAAGCACTGCGGAGCGAGGATTCGGATCAGAGGAAAAAGAGATGAGAGACTCGAGAGAGACACGCACCCACACCAGGCACCAAGACCCAGAGAGGGAGAGAGAGACGATAGGGCAGCCACAGGCGACATGCGGTCCCTGGGATTGGCGGCGGGGATGGGGCATCGGAGTGGTCTGGAACTAGCAGCGGCCATGGCTGTTTGCAGCGGCCCAAGCACTGTACGAAATGGGGCCACAGAGCGTGCGTAGGTGCGTGTGCCATTCGTGTGTCTATGTTTTTTTTTCTCTTGTTATTCTAGCCTCGAGGTCTAGTGACTTTTTCTTGTTCGGCGATCCGATGGGACCCAATGGACGACGCTACGGCGAGCGCCGGGGCACGTGGAGAAGACTGACATGGCTGATGGACATGGGAATAAATTGGGACGTCAAGTCTGGGCAGACACAAACCGGGCAGTTTATTTGCTGTGCAGAGATGTGTGTGTGTGTGACGGATAATGTGTGCATAGCTAGTAAACACTGATGAGGCCCGACGGGATGACGAGATGGAAAAAGTGCCCGCTCCCACGCTCACGCCCGTTGGCAACGAGGGAGGATGTGACGGGACCACGGGCAATCACTCACTTCATGAAGAAGAAGAAGCTCTCTGCTGGCAGCGTCGATTGTGTCCGTATTGGCACTGGGTTTCTGGCTGGCTGGGCTGGCAAACCTGGCTGGAACTGGAAGCGTGTTGTTCAGCGCAAAGCCCCTCCTTGCGCGCGTTGTCATAGGCCAGCTATCAGTGGCTTTCTTGGCTCAGTGGCGTTTCTCGCTGTGGAGCTGTCGAAAATGAGGCAGGCCGGCGCGCTGTTCCTGGCTCCCCGGGCACTGTACGCCAGTCGTCACTCGGTGGGATGTATCTCTGCCTGTGTTTAACGTGCAAAGATACAACGCCCTCGATGTGGGCGACGGCAAGGACGGGGGCCGTACCACTCGGCCCATTATCAGCTGTGGTTTCCCATTTATCGTACGATCTGCCACCATTCTCTTCCCTTTCTCAATTCTCGCTCTCCTTCCATCCTCCCACCCAATTCCCTGCCCTCTCTTCGCGATCCAAGCATTCCAGAGCGCACCTCTATTCGTGTGCCTGAATTTCCCACCACGCACATCGACCCCCAAACCAACCATTTCGTGCATCTCGCGTCGAATCCCCTCGTCGCTGCTGACCCGTCGACCGAGTTTACCCCCGTGCAGTGCCGAAGTCTACCTTACAGTAACCCCCCCCTCTCCAACGTACCAGAGAGAGGACCCCCAAGCAACCCAAGCTCTGAGCACCGCCAAACCTGCCCAGCGTCATACGACTTCCACCCGCCGATTTCTGCCCATCTGGGTCCCGCGTCTCCCTCCCGCCTGACACCACCTCGCAATCCCCATCCCTTCCCATCGCCTTCTGCCGACAGTCGTACGACCAGAACGAATCCCGCTGCGACCACGCCGCCGTTTGCCGTCAATCAACCGCTGTCCGTCCTGTTCGTAATCTGCCCCCTGCGGCATCGACACCGATCCATCGCGACCGACCGGCCACTCACGTCGAGTCCTATCGACTGCCTCGCCGGGTCCTGGCCCCCCCGTTCTCCAGTCCTGCGAAGGGCCGTCCACGGTACCGACTTCGATGAATTGAGCATCAGGCCATAGTTGCATATACACCGCTCTGCAACATGGCCGACCAGGATCAGAATGCCTTATTTGGGCTCGACGAGTCTAACCTCGGCGTGGCGCCGTCTTTCCTTGACGATCAAGACCCCCAGACCGTGAAATCTGATCCCAACGGTCAACCAAACATCGCCGCCGACAACCAGTCCTTCTATGACGCCAATTGGGGCTTTCAGGACACACCCCCGTACGACTCCTACAGCATCGCTGCCACCACCGCCGCAGGCGCCACTTCTCTCTTCCAGACCACCGCTCCGTGGGAGCTCTCTCCGAACCAGCAGCATCAACAACAACACCTGCCGCCCAACGTTTCCGCCGCCATCGATCAATCCATCGTCGCTCCGGCCGGCTTCTATGCCACTCCCGCCACCTCCAACCATCACCAGCGAGGAGGCCACCCTCACACCCTCCCCGACACCACCCTGAACCTCCTCACGCCCGCCCAACAGGAGAAGCTGCGGAATATCGCCATGCCCGCCCATCTCCAGTACCAGTCACCCAAGAGCGAGCCGAGCCCCGGATCTGCCACGAGCGACCACAAGGCAGCAGGACTGTCCTCTCCGGATGCCCACGACTCGAGCAAGGCCAGCAGGAAGCGCAAGTCGTCCGCCGACGTTGACGATGAAGATGACGAGGACGACGAGAACCAGCCCGTCAAGAAGACGGCACACAACATGATTGAGAAGAGGTATCGAACCAACCTGAACGACAAGATTGCCGCCCTCCGAGACAGCGTGCCCAGTTTGAGGATCATGTCCAAGAGTGCCAGGGGAGAGGATACCACCGAGGACCGCGAGGAGCTGCACGGCTTGACGCCTGCCCACAAGCTGAACAAGGCTACGGTATGTATTCTGTGAGATCAAGTAAAACGGCACTAACATCCACAGGTCTTGAGCAAGGCGACAGAGTACATCCGCCACCTCGAAAAGCGAAATAACCGATTGCTCGACGAGAACAGCGCCATGCAGAACAGAATCGCCGCGTTCGAGAAGCTCTTCATGGCCGGCGCGATGAACGGCGCGATGAGCCCTCTCCAGCAACCGCCGACCCCGATGCAGTACCCGCAGGACCAGTACATCAACACGCCCATCGGCACCCCCCGCGGCGAGTCCGCCCAGGGCATGATTCCCGTGCCCGAAGACATGAAGCGCATCATCTCCGCGCAAATGGCCTCCGGCCAGCCGTATCCCGTGCCGCAACAAGCGTACCGCGGAAACCCCGCCCTCATGCGGCAGCAACAGATCCAGCAACAGCAGCAGCAGATGCAGCAGCAAGGCCGCTGGGGCAACTCGAGCCAATACTTTGGCAAGCTCATGGTCGGTTCTCTTGCTGGTCTCATGATCATCGAGGCCGTGCGAGAAAACGAGCAGAGCAACGAGAGCCCCGAGGGCCGCGGCCTGTACGCTCTCCCCGTCCAGCTTCTCAGCTACCTGGGATCGCACTCACACATGCACATTGGCGGGTACTACATCTCCCCTGCCCAGATCATCTCGCATCTCAAACTTTTGCTCTTCCTTGGCACCTTCTTGTGGGTCTTTGTGCCCTCGCTGTTTGTGCCGTCCGACAAGAAGCCAAAGAAGGCGCACCAGCTCAGGGAGTCTCTCAAGGCGGCCGGATCTGTGGCGTCCCCTATTCACGTGCGTCGTCTGGCCTGGTTGACGGCCATCCAGACCGTCTGGGTCCCGAAACACAACTTCATCCTCGAGGCCGCTGCTCTGATTCTCAAGACGATGAAGCTCAGCCTCCGCAATGCTATTGGCGTTCACGGCTACCAAATGCTCACCGGCCTCACCGAGGAGCAGGAGGCTGCTCGCGTCAAGGCGTGGTCCATCGCCCTCGACGCCCAATTGGCTGGAGGTGACGTGGAGATCAACAAGAGCCGCCTGACTCTCACCCTCTTGGCATCCGGCACACTCCCCGACACCCCGTCCCGACTGATGCTCAAGGCCCTTCACGTCCGCGTCCTCCTCTGGGATCTTGGATCCAAGGGCCTGCACAACACTGTCGCCAAGAAGCTTGCCCGCTCACTCTGGAACGACGCCAGGAACATGAACCGTGCCCTGGCCCAGCTTCGCCGCAACTCCGAGCAGGTCGAAGACGACCTTCCCGAACACCTGGCCGCCCTCATCGAGCAAGAATGTGACGTGGTTCTCAACAACAGCGTCATCCAGCGAGCCTACAACCTGGCGTGGAACCTGGCAACGACCGAGGGTGTCACCGAGCACAACGACGGCATGGATGCCGTCGTCGACGATCAGGCTGTGCGGTCCCCGCTGGATGCCGTCGCTGCCTGGTGGTCCAGCCAGACCATTCAGCGCGCCCTGGTCACCAGCCTCGAGGCCACCAAGGATGATGGTGACGCCCCCAGGGTCGTGTCGACCTGTTTGGAAAACGCCCTCAAGACTGCACCCATCGGCTCCGGCGTCCAGGCTCGTGCTCTCGTCGCCCGCGCCGTCCTCGTCGACGAGAAGCGCGGAGCCAACATTGCCGCCGCCCTCCAGAACGTCCAGCCCACCTCTGAGCAAAAGTCACTACACCAGATCGCCGCCATCATCGACTCTTCTTCCATGGTCCAGTCCCCCGATGTCCAGATGGCCCTCAAGTGCGCCATGGCCATCGCTCACCTGCAGCGCGCCAAGTCGACCGCCGCCTACCCCCAGGAAGGCCTCCGCCTCGTCGAGAAGATTGCCCGCCCCAGCGCCACCGCCAACATGTCCCTCCTCGGCTGCACCGCGCTGTTCAAGCTGATGGAGGAGCTCTACGCCCACCGTCCGTCGACCGAGTCTTTCAGCACATCCCTCGAGCGCCTCGCCGGCAGCCTGCGCATCTGGATTGGCAGCGCGCCCGGTGAAAAGTGCGGTCTGGAGCAGGACGTTCGCCACAAGATGGTCGACCGCTGCCTCAGTATCACCAAGAGCGTCGTCGGCATGGAGACGGACACGGGCTACGGCAGTATGAGCGAGTGCGAAGAGGACGGGTGCTGACAATCTTATTCCTATGTCTAGAGGCGGTATCTCCCCTTACTACATACTAGATGCATTTATTTTTCTTTATTTGTACTTTTTACGGACTGGACATGGGTTTTGGGCGTCAACCCGGGAGGATATATGTGTCTTTTGACCTGGCGTTTCGTACGGAAGCAACGTGACGACGGCTGGAAAAGGCTGGGACCAGCGGATTTTGCATGAGCAGAGACAACGGATGTCGCTTCGGGCTGGCATTGATCCCCTCGAGGACTGTCACAATATGGAATTGGGCGAGGGATACGGTCAGGGGATATATACGTGTCGGCTGAAAAAGTTGCGATGTTTTTATTCTCTATAATCAGTGGCCGTGGGCCGCCGCTATGTAGAATCAATATCGACATGTGTCGCTGCGGGTCTGCGCATGAGTTGTATTGTGATTTATGATGATGGTGAGGGGCTGTCCTGTTTGAGGAGGTGCCGATGGTCGATGACACCCTCTGACTTGAGAGTTCGGCTGTGGTGGGAGGGCTTACACAGGTACGTTTATGTCTGTCGATTACTCACCGCGTTGCTGACCCTGCGAAATAATAGGAGAAACTCCTGATGTGTGGTATTTCTGTTTATTGCGTTTATACGACAACACGCACTCGTCAGCCCACGACCGCTCCCTGACGGGCTGGAGAGTGATTCACCAGCGGAGACTCGCCAGCGGAGTCGAGCGGATACGGCACGGCAGTCCTCACAGGCGAGGAGTCCACATCCCCACCTTTCAAAGCTGCAGGCCCCACCCAGATAAACAACACATAGCCGTCGCTATCGGGGCCGAGCCAACTCCCTGCGTACGGCACATGACGGGCCAAAAGGGGAGCACACCGGCCAGGACTGGGTTATCAACGTCGCAGCAATGTCCTGCTCGAACGGGCTTCGCATGCCGCGCGGGCATATCGCTGTTATCTACACAATTGACGCTGACTGAAGGCCTGCGACCGGGATGCCAACTCTGCAAACCGGGCACCTGCAGCATCGCCCTGGAACGATGTGATGCCTCTCGACGGGCGATTAGCCACGAGCTGAGCTCTTCTTCCAGCAAGACGACAACCCTGCGAACACCCGGACGCACCAGTTCACCGTGCTCCTCTCCCTGACGGCCAAATCGGAGCCCATCCTGCCGAGCGGGACATGCCCATCTTCACGACGACCTGCCCAATGATGGCAACGGGTGACCCCAATTACAACTCCCCGCACTCCCAATGGACACCACCCTTACGCACATCTCCAATCAGACGGCGACATCGCCGGCCACCATGTGACGCAAGATTGCATCTGCGCAAGGGAGTGTCCATCTCTTGTCGTGTTGACATGACCGCCCCTACCTGCTTTTATTGACCTCGCTTGCCGTTGGGGCTGCTCAACGTTGCGCCCATCAGGGCATGGGCAAATCACGGCGAGAGATGTGTCGGCATACCTTCCCCTTCCCGCGTCACCGGCATCCAGGGCCAGGAACAGCTGGCCGTAGCTGTCGAGGGGGCTACGATGCTTGATGGCCGAGGTGTGCGGTCATAAAGGGCGACGGCTGCCCTGGCGTCCCCTATCGTAACTCGAGGGGCACACCGCATCGCCCGCCATGCCTCGATACTCTCGTTCCGGCCTTGAGCTGCCCCGGCGCTCGTTCTTCGCCGTCTTTGCACTCGTGTCTTTTGTGCTCCTAGCCACTGTCGCTTTCACCAAGCTCGGCGCTCAACAGGGCCCCGCGCTGAACATCCGCCGCGATGATACGTGGAAGTCGCACCTCAAGGCCAAGACGCGCGCCGCGGCGGGTGACAAGTACCTGATCGGCGCCGGCAAGGCTGACATCACGGGGCCCGTCGTCGAGATTGGGTTTGCCGGGTATGCTGACCTGGACCAGGTTGGGACTGGTCTCAGGCAGAGAATCTACAGCCGCGCCTTCATTGTCGGCGATGTGAGCAAGCCGAACGATCGGTTTGTGTATCTCGTGCTGGACACTCAGAGCGGTGACACCGCCGTGCGCAATGGCATCTTGGAGGGCGTCAAGGCTCTCGGGTCCGGCTATTCCATGTACACCAAGGACAACATTGCCGTCACGGGCACCCACAGCCACGCCGGCCCGGGAGCGTGGTTCAACTACCTGCTGCCGCAAGTCACCAGCCTGGGGTTCGACAAGCAGAGCTACCAGGCCATCGTTGACGGCGCGGTGTTGTCGATCAAGAAGGCGCACGAGTCGCTTGCCGAGGTATGTCGTTCACTGCTTCTCGAGACCTGACTGACGATCCAGGGCTACCTCGACGTTGGGACCACCGAGGTGACTGATGGCGCAATCAACCGCAGTCTCTGGGCGTACCTGGCCAACCCCGAAGAGGAGAGGGCCAAGTACAGCGCCAGCACCGACACTACCCTCACGCTTCTCCGCTTCCAGCGTGCCTCTGACGGCAAGAACATTGGTGTTCTCACGTGGTATCCTGTGCATGGCACTTCCATTCTTCAGAATAGCACCCACGTGGCTGGCGACAACAAGGGCGTCGCCGCGTATCTCCTCGAGAAGGATCTCGCGGGCGACTCGAGCACGGCTGATGGCTTCGTCGCTGGCTTCAGCCAAGCCAACGTCGGCGACACCACCCCCAACGTCCTCGGCGCGTGGTGCGACGACGGATCTGGCCAGCAGTGCAGTCTCGAGAACAGCACGTGCGCTGATGGCAAGAGCCAGTCATGCCACGGCAGAGGCCCGGCATTTCAGAAGCTAGACCTGGGAATTTCCAGCTGCTATGAGATTGGCAAACGGCAGTACGCCGGGGCCAAGAGCGTCTACGTAAGTTGACCCATCCTCACACCGAGCCTGGCTGACCAGACAGACCGCCCTGAGCTCTTCGTCGACCCCCGTCACCGGCACCAGCGTCAAGTCCTTCCACTTCTTCCAGGACATGTCCTACTTCAACTTCACCGCGGCAGACGGCACCAAGGGCATGACCTGCCCGGCCGCCCTCGGCTACTCCTTCGCCGCCGGCACGTCCGACGGCCCCGGCGCGTTCGACTTCACCCAGGCCGACTCGGGCACCCCTGACGCCAACCCCCTCTGGGCGGTCGTGTCCGGCCTCCTGAGGACCCCGAGCGCGGCGCAGGCCGCCTGCCAGCAGCCGAAGCCCGTCCTCCTCGACGTCGGCGAGATGAGCACCCCCTACGCCTGGAGCCCCAATATTGTCGACATCCAGATGCTCCGCGTGGGCCAGCTGGTCATCATCGTCGCGCCCGGCGAGGCCACAACCATGTCTGGTCGCCGCTGGAAGGCAGCAGTCAAGCAGGCCGCCACGTCAATCGTCGACAACGACCCGATCGTCATCCTCGGCGGCCCTGCCAACACCTACGCGCACTACATCGCGACCCCTGAAGAGTACGCCATCCAGCGCTACGAGGGCGCGTCGACCCTCTTTGGCAAAAGCACCCTCCCGGCCTACATCAACCTCACCGTCTCCAACATCGGCTTCCTTTCCCCCTCGGCCACGTCCACGCCGCCCGCCGGCCCGTCGCCCCCGGACAACCGCAGCAACTCGCTGTCCTTCATCACCGGCGTCGTCGTGGACGGCACCCCCAGCGGCCGCTCCTTCGGCTCCGTCGTCACGCAGCCGTCGGCGTCGTACTCCCGTGGCGCCGTCGTCAACGCCACCTTCCAAGCGGCCAACCCGCGGAACAACCTGCGCCTCGAGGGGACGTACGCGGCGGTGGAGCAACTGCAGAACGGTGTGTGGACGCAAGTGAGGAACGACGAGGACTGGTTTCTGGTGTACACGTGGACGCGCACCAACTGGCTGCTCGGGTACAGCGAGGTCACCATCAGCTGGGAGACGGCCGGGGACGGCGCTGCTGCGGGGACGTATCGGATCAAGTACTATGGCGATTCGAAGCCGTTGATCGGGTCCATCACGGCGTTTGAAGGGACGTCGAATAATTTTACGTTGGTCTAAGATGCCTCCTACCATGGGTGCAGGATTACAAATTTCATAGTCAATGTCTAATCTGTGTTGCCGATTTATGCCAGTCCTGTTGATAGATGTGTCGTTTGCAGTCCCTGGTAAGTTGATGGATGGCTATGGTCACAAAGAGTACAAAAGCCCTGTGCCCACGGTGACTATCCGCGACATGAACTCACTGTTGCTTCTTTGGTGCTAGGGTTCTCGCGTTTGAATGGAAGATGGGTGGGTGATTGAAACAGGCCCGCTTGCTCGCTGTAAACACCCGGAACCTGTTCTTGTTTGCACCTCGAACCCGAGCCTCCTCCCGTCGTGGGAGTTGAAAACTCTTCTACTCCTCTTGCCTTTTTCCTTCCTTCTCTCTCTCTCTCACACACACACAACACACATTTTCGATTTTTCTCGGGCCCTCCACCACTACATTTCTACCCCTCGAACTCTTCTCACCACCACATTCCTACTCCTCGCACTCTACTCCCACCTCTTCGTTTTTTATTCCTCGCACTTGTATCCCTTTTCAGCACAACGCAACAACAGACACTATGACAAGACCGAAGCGTGAACGGGAGGAAGGCAGGGGCTCCGCCGCTGGCGAATACCCTCGCGCAAAGAGACCTCGCCGCGACTCGCTGGAGGAGGCAGAAGATGACTTCGCTCGCGCCCAGGCCAGCCTGGATAGGAAGCGACGCCAGAGACAGCAGCCCACTCAGCACCAGACATCGACGATGTCAGAGGCGCATGACTTTGCGAACGTTTCTGCGGATAGACTGCACAGGTTCCAACCATACAACGAGAGACGCCACGACCCGTCGTCGCGGCCCTCTTCAGGTCCGCATCGCCGAAGCAACCAGCACCAAGCAAACAGCGATAGATCGCACAGGTTCCACCCATACAACGACCATCGCCACGACGTGGCGACTCACGACAGACTATCGTCGCGGCCTTCTTCAGGTCCGCATCACCGAAGCAACCAGCACCAAGCAACCAGCGATAGATCGCACGGGAGGCAACAACACAACGACCAGCGCCACGACGTGGCTACAACGAGCGAAAGCGGCAGGCTGTCGCCATGGCAATCCTCAGGTCCGCGCCGCCTAAGTAATCAGCCTCAAGCAGCCAGCGATAGACAGCACATGGTTCAACATCACAACGACCCGCCACGACATGGCGACTCATGACAGACTGTCGTCGCGGCTCTCTCCAAGTCTGCATCGTCCAAGCAACCAGCCTCGACCCTCGCATCAGGTACATCGAGAGAGCTACGACAGCTACGGCCCGCAGCAAACCCCGGCTCGAGACCAGACACGACGACCAGAGGATCGCGACCGCGAGATCAAGCCTGGACCAGGATCTAGACCCCAGAACCCAAACAGAGGGGTCTACCACGATTTCGCCCGGGAAGGACGTGACCGCCCTGCCCCTTCCCGTTTTGACTCGCCACCCCAGACACAAGGCAGTGATAGAGACCAGCGGCCATCATACCACTCACTGACAAGAGGTGGTGGCCATGGCAGGGGTCAATCACTTCAACGCGAGCCCGATGTTACCTCAGATCGAGGTCAATCGCACCACCCACGGCGGTTCACTGGCACGTCCTTCCAGCCCCCTCAACAGATTTGCAACAAGCCGCCTTTCCACGAAAAGGTCAAGCTCAACACGGAGGACGCAGAGAAGCTCGTTACCCATGGCGGACAGTCAATCGACCCTCATGTTGAGCTCAGGTGTGGGAACTGCGGCCACAGAGGCCATCGTCTGATCGACTGCATCTGGCCAGACCTCTCGGGCCAGATCAGTGGCTGCCCATTGTGCAACACGAAGTTGCATCATTTGGATGAATGTGCTCGAGTATCGCAGCTCTCCAAGGCCCAGTTATACAATCTCCTCATCCATAGGAGAGGCAACAGGCCAGCTATCGCCTCGAGGACCCCTTGGGTTGATCTCGTCATGGAGGCCGCGACTGCTTCCATCGGGATCAAGGACCCACAAGGGGGACCGTTTCCTTGGACCGAGGACTTTGCCAAGAGCCAGGGGCACACCTGGTGCAAGTACGAGAACCGCTCGGGTCCCTTGTGGGAGTTCTACGACTACAGGGCGGGAAAGGAGGGAAGGATGCCTCTGCCGACCGACCCCAAGACGAAGAATTTGGAAAAGGTCTTGAGCAGCGTGGAGGGATTGCGCATAACTGAGGTGCACCTTGGGTTGGGGCAGAATGCGCTCACTCTTTAGTGGAGGTTCCCGTGGCAAGTAAATATTGGGTTTGAGAGAACGTTGTTGGGTTGCTTTACATAGTCTTTAGGCACAGATTGAGCACTCGTTCTCTATATTCGTCACGGCATCCACTGCCATCGTTCTCGTGAAGTTATCTCCATGTAATTTTCGCGATGGCTGAGTCGCGGGTGCTGTTCACTGAAGAGATGTAGACGTTAAAGCAGCGACTTCCCCCATTGGACCAATCGGATACGTTCCTCACGTGCCCTATTCGGAAGGAAGCTGGCTAAGCCCGGGCATACGCCTCTTTCAACCGACACTCGTCCATCAACTTCTCTCCAACGACACTCCATCATTCCCCCCATTAACTGGTATTTGTTCCAATAACGTCCAACTTTTTTGTTACGTCTAGAAAAAGAGCACGACTACATCCAGTACACATACACAAAACATCTTTCCTCCCCAGAGCGGCATCAATAGACAAAATGCCCTCTCCACGCCTTCTCAGTACCGAGCTCGTCGAAGTGGCAGATTCAAATTCGGAGACGGATTGTGATAACATGTCCACTTCAAGCAGTGATTCTTGGCCTGGCATCTCCATGGCTGGGTCTGACGAAATAGATGGCGACGAACCCATTAAGCCCTCCAGTCCGAGGCCGGTGCCTAGGCTACGTGGCATTCTCAAGAGTTCCAGCTCAGGAGACTTACAGAAGGCTCAAACCAATGTCTCTGGCCAACAAACACAGTCTGAAGAAAGAGATCCACTCGGCAGCGGCCCGTTACGAAGGATGAACGCGCTCGAGGAAGAACAACGTCGTCGGCGGAAGCGTTATCGCCATCGTCCCTATGCAGACAGCAGACGCAAGATGTCACACAATCGTGTCGAAGGAGACTTGTCGGATACTGTCGATGAAGATGAGAACGCCGACGGTAGCAGAAACTGGGTCCATGTTACGAAGAAGCCCTGTCATGACCACCAACATCACCACAGCTATAACAATCTCGCCGCCCTCAACACGACTGGTCTCCAAACCCCGGCTAACGCCATCTCCAATGTTGGACAGCAAGTAGGCAGCCCGCGAAGTCAGCTTTATGGAAACCTTCCTTCTCTCCAACTTGACCCCAGGAGTCCGGTTGAGACCCATAACGCTTCGCATTCCCCCGCACCAGCCGGCGGTCTCAATATGTACGGCGTACATCAGCACAGAAATTACTTTCCAACGACGAATCAGTACGCTGGAGGCTTTCATGGTCAGGCCCGGTACCCTTATTCGCATCGAAGGCGCCTTGGTTATCCCATACCGCAGCAAACCCTTGGCTATCCCATACCGCAGCAACTCCTTGGTTATCCTATACCGCAGCAAGACCGGACACAGCAATCCGAACCAAGTTGGCTCGCTGGCCTCTATAACAGTCGAGACCGACTCAGGGACGAGTTCTTTTGGTTGAGATCAAGACCCCGTGACGCCAGGGACGAGAGCTTTTTGGCCATTGTGACGGCCCAGCTGCATGTGGCATCGCTTCTTCTGACACACAGCCTGCGATACTGTACGTGAGAAGTCGGCATCCACCCGCGGGTACATTGGAAGGGGAGACTGATTTGTAAGCACAGTGGTTGGCACGCGAGCTTGCGTTGGCTGGTATTGAGTATGTTTACGATCGTGCCTTGGGGGTACAGAAGTAACGAGCATGCAATACATGATATACGACGAATGTGCTCACTTCAGTGACTTCGATGGTTCCGAGTCACAATATGTCTTCCTTGTGATTCTGACCATGCTTGAATTTACCAGTGCCTCCCTTATAACCGCATGCCCGATGCCTCAGCACTCGAGGAGACCCAAGTACCTGCTTAGAAGGCCTGGACTTGAGACCAGTGGTGGGCTCATCCGATGGTAATTGTACCGAGACACGGGCAGATATTCCTTAACAACCATTGCCATTTCCTAACCGCCCGGATAGCTTTCGAAGTTCCCGAGACAGACGTCACCGGTGGCAGTGTTTGCTCAGTAAGGGGAGGAGGGAAGGAAAGACTTGAATCGAAATGGACTCATGTCCTATTCTTACATTTATGACGGCTTCTAAAAGCTGCTCGTCCAAATATCCAATGTGTCCAACTGAGAGGAGACGTCTCTAGGCTGCATCCTGCCTCTGTAAGACAGTGCTTGCCCCATGGATGCGATTGGGCCTTCTTGAAAAGTTGGACAGTGGGGAAGGAAGGAGGTGTCTGGGAGAGAAGTTGCAATAAGGAGTGCAAAGAAGGAGCGTATTTAAAAGACTGCTTTCTTTTCTCCTATAACGACGTCTTTCTTCTTCTCCTCACAACATCACATCTCTAGTTTGCCACACTTGCTTTTCGCATCTTTCTCCCATATTGCTCGTGTATTCTCTATTGCGAGTTCACTACCACCTCCCATTACCACCTCCCACGACGACCACCATCATGCCTCCCAAGAACACAAAAAAGCCTGCGGCTGCGACTAAGACCTCGGCGGCGACATCAGCTGTCACAGCAACGCGAGGTCAAAAAACCAAGAGGAAGAACGCGGACACACCCGGTTCTATTAATAAGAAGCAGAAGGCGACGAATGCTGGAGAGGCCGAGACAGATTTCGAGGAGGGCGTGGCAGATGCTGGAAGAGAGGAACCAACCGGGGATGATGGCGATGGCGGCGTCAGGTGTCTGGTGCGCCCTGACAAGGCGTGGGCGCTTGTTGAGAGGTCTCACGTCGATAAGCAGCCAGCTGCGTCGCACAAGATGTTCTTTTTGACGAATGCTTCCGTGTCTCAGCTTGAAGAAGACGAGATCGATAACATAATTCCTCCTAAAACACTGCCAGAGTCGTTATTCCCTCCGAACTGGACCCAGCAGGACGAGCAAGACTTGCAGAGGGCGTGGGATGAGGATCCCGAACGGCCCGTTTGGATGGACATTCCAGAAAAAGGGAGATTCACTAAACTCTGGAAAGTGTTTCTGCGCCTCTTTCGTAAGAGCCCTGCCGATGTCATCTCGGCCAAGTACGCGTTGCAATTTGATCCGGACAAGAAGCGTCCCAGGATGGGATGGAACAGCAAGAATGAACTGGTGGTCTCGCCGGCGTGGACTGCGCTCTTTATGAAGAGACTGATGAATTTGGCGTTCCACCCGCTGTGGCAGGGCAAGGTCGAATGCCTTATCGTCGCCATCCAGTACGCAGTAATCGTGCGCACCAACGACTGCCGGACATGGAAGCTCCTCAACCCGACTGGTGATGAGTTCTTCAACACCATGATTCGAGTTCTCAAAAAGCCCGACTGTCAGGGCATGGAGGTGTCCAAGCTTCACAAGATGGCCCGCGACGACATGCATGGTCGTGACATCCCGTGTGGCTGGTTCTCTATGTTCATGGAGAAGCTAGAGGGCAAGTATCCAAATCCACCACCGAGGCAGACAGAAGACAACGGTCCCTACAAGGTCTCGACGACTGACCTTGGGGACATTCTGGAGGCGCTGACGGACACGGATCATCTAGGACTGCCGCTCTTCAGGTACACGGGCGAGGGCTACAGTATGGAAGCGGCCAACCTTAACATGAAGGAGGACTTGCCAGCGAATGACGACATGTTGGATTATTACGAGCGCGGATTACTCGAAGAGCGCCGCTGGGTTGCCTTGCAGAAGAAGCTCGCGGACCGAGGAAGGCCCGTCGAGTCTTTGACGGGGCTTACGGTCAGTGCCGAGGCGACCGGCTCAGGCTCCACTCAGACCGATATCGACCAGCTGAATGAGAGGATTCGGGAGTTGGAAGACGATGTTTTCGAGTGGCAAAGGAAATATAAGAGGCTGCAGGGGCATAACCCGGTCCCGTCTTCGGATGCGATAGAGGACCCGAACGACAGCTACGTATAAGAGGGCGGCGGCGGCGGCGACCGCCCACCTTCTTTGTTCAGACTTACGCCCTCTTGACTGCCAGATATGGCACGGGGTTGACCATACCTACTACTCGGGAAGCCAATATGCTTTTGTAACAATACACATTCTCTGCAATTGAACCACCTGTGTGGTGCGTAACCCTTGAAAGTTGACCCTTGATTGTGACTAACCAAAGTGATCCTCTTACTGACGAATCCCTACTGTGTCCTCTTGGAAGTTGGCTAGTGGGGAAAGAGGTGGTTTGAAGAGATACCTTAGTATGATGAGTTGTGTAAGGAGAAGGAACGAAGTTGAAGGCTCCTTCCCTTTCCCAGGTGGCAACGTTCCACCTCCGTCTTTCCTCAACTTTTCTCCGCCTTCCCGCACCTGCGTTTATCATCACCCCTGCATTTTCTTCTGTAATTTTCACGACCACGACCACAACCACCGCCCCCACCGAGACCAAGATGCCGCCGGAGCGCGATTTAGTGGAAGGAACGCCGGCTTCACGGCCTCAGGCTGCGACTGCGGTTTTGGTATCTACCGCAACTGCGGTAGGAGCAGACAGAGCAGAAATGGACGGTCGACGGACTGTTGGAAGGAAGAGAGAGGGCAGCGCATCGTCATCATCAATGAGAACTGCTAAACAGCAGAAGACGAGCGCAGGGGATGGGACCTCCGCATTTCAGGCAGGTGCAGTCAGTGGTGCAGATGGTGCCCAGGACTCTGGGTTATCCTCGTATGAGAGAGTCTCTGCAGTTGCCATGGCTCCTGTGAGCGGAGATCAGGAGCGATCCTCGACGGAGGTGAGGGTGCCTGGAGACACTCAGGCCGAAGGCAGTCACGGGACAGAGATCGAGGTCTCTAGAATCCTCAAGAGGTTTGAAGACGCGCTGAAGAAGGCAGAGGAGACGCCGGAGAAGGTTATGACCCTCCAGAAGAAGCTGGACTTGGCAGAGCAAGATGCCAAGACCGCCGGCATCCGAGCCGACGAGGCGGCCAAGCGCGAGACTCGGAATCGGGCGGAACACGCCAAGCTCCTACAGGAGTCGGATGAGCAGAACAAGAAGCTGTCCAGGGAACACGAGAAGCTCCAGGCAGAGTATAAGGAAATGAGCGAGAGCAAGCACAAGCTGTTTGTAGAGAACATGACCCGCAGGATCACCAATGAGTCATTCGCCGACGCCATGAAAGAGTTCTCTATTGTTGAGGAGAAATTGAATCAGGCGACAAAGGAGAGAACGGATCTCGCCGAGAAGTTGCGCCAAGCCGAGACGGCGCGTGGAGAGGCGGACAACGAACTGGCCCGTCTGAAAGAGACGCTGACCTCGATAGAGGCTGAGCGAGATTTGGCAAAGGCCGAGTTGGACAAGGTGAGAGAAAAGCTGACATCGACGGAGGCTGCGCGGGACTCGGTAACGACCGAGCTAGAGGGGTTGAGATCAACAGTAGCCTCAATAGAGGTTATGCGAAATTCAGCAATAGCTGAGGTGGACCAGCGCAGGGAGGAGCTGTCTAGTTCGCAGAAAGATGTGAGCAAAGAAAGGCTCGAAGTGCAGGGCCTCACCACTGTGCTGAAAGGTCTCAAGACGGCTGTCGAGGCGATAAAAGCACGGCCAAATAGCACTGGAAGCGCGGAGTCTGACTGGCAAAAGGCCGTGGAACTGCTGGCATCACGACTGAACGCGTTCAATATCTTCGACGACGGTCGCCATCTCACACATTCGTCAGTCATCCACGAAGTTGGAATGGCAATCGTGCGGGACGCGGAATTCGATAAGCTAAGGAGGTTCGTCGCGACTATGGAGGTCAACGCGACCTATTGTTTTTGGCAGGTGGTAGAGGCTGAGGAGGGAGACGAGATCATCAGACTGGAAAGCTCCAAGGCAACGTGCCCCTTGCACACGATGGAGAAACGCCTCAGCAAGAGTGACAAATGTCTCAGATTCAAACGTATAGTTCGCAATGGCGACAGACAGCTCATCGTGGGAAGAAAGACGAAGCAGACCACAGCTGTGTAGGTGGTATTAATGTTACAATAGATAGATATTCACGAGGGAAGGGTCCAGTTTGCATTGATCATCAAGAGTCTGAGAATCTCATGTTGCTTGTTAAGTAAATTACGAACGCCACTCAGTCCACGAGGGATTCCGCGTGTTACCAACGCTATCCTCCACGTCTCCTCACTCAATTGGGGTTTCAAGTCCGTTCGTCAATGTCTATGGTCGAAGCATGCCCGCTTCCCTGACGCTCTCGCAAATCCGCTAGTAAATCAATATCTTCATCTCCCTCAGCCTCAGACCCCATGGATTCAAATACTCTCAAGACAGATTAGGTGCTCCCTCCCTCCCAAATTTTTTTTCCATCATCCCTCCTTCCACTGCCCGGTGAAATATGTTCAGCGTTCATAGTTAGTTTCCACTTACATAATGAAGACACACCATGTATCACAGTGAAGGTTTTATACAAATGGTGAAAAGTTGGTTCTGCTCTGTTGGGCCACAATATTGTCATTTATACCCCTTGGATGTGGGCATTCTGGCATATGCCGGAGGCGGGCCGCGCCTGAAAAAGGGGGCCATTGGAGCGCCGGCTTACTTCATCTGAAAGCCGCAAACTGGTGATATCAAAGGAATAATAGCAACAGCAATATTTGGAGACTCTGTGAAAATTCAGGAGAGGAAGTAGGGGTAGCATGGAGGGCTCCTGCCTTGAGAGAGTCAGGACTTTCACCGCGGGACCCACCGGCCGAGGAGAACTGTGAATCCCATTGTTTACCTACCTCGTCGATTGATTGATGCCTGTTGCTGCCTTGCTTTTCTTTAGTCTAGTTAGAAAGTCCCTCGGCTGCGAAATCTTTTCCTCTTCAACTTTCCCAACACCAACGGACAGTATCAGGACACTGATAGCAGGCAGCAGTACGACCTGAACATGGTTTCCCGGCATCGTGTCGACCGCGACGAGCTTGCCGCCCATATCGAAGCGAACAACCGAGCGGCAAACCTGCTTCGAGCCAGCTTCAATGACCCGAGCATACGCACATTCAGCAGTGGTTTCACGGGTGGGCCGTCCGCGCCTCCGCAGACAGCGCAGCCGCGGTGGCTCGACAACATGTGCTTTACCCGCTTTAGTGCCCAGAGCGACCCGCCGCCGCCGCCGCAGCAGCAGCAGCAGACGACGGGATATCGCGCAGCCCCCCGCAGAGAGAGTGTGTCGGCTCCTCGGCATGACTTCCACGACCGGGACTGCGGTGACCGGCCGCGCCGTGATGCGCTCCCTGACGTGTGGTATGATGACTTTTGGCATGACCCAAGCAGCGCACATCGACACAGTGGGTTTTTGGAGACGGCGATGGAGGCTGACGGTCAACGGACTATCAGTGGAAAGAGAAAGATGACGGGGACCCCCGTTGCTGCTAACAAGAAGCAGAAGATGAGTCCAGAGAATGGAACTTCCGCGTTTCAGGCAGCTCTGGTGAGTGAAGGAGCCGATGGGGCCCTCGACTCTGAGTCCACCGCGGATGGCGCGGTGGGAACTGATGGTGGTGCCCAGGACGCTGGGTTAGATGAGGAGAATGTGCAGACGCCGGCTGAGCCGACGCCGACTTGGGGCTCGTCCAAGACGTTCTTGGAAGCCACTGTCGACGAGGCCATAGATCAGGGCAAGTACAAGGCGACCCTCGACAGCATCTGGCCCAAGACTAGGGAATGGGCTGCGGACGGCGACGAGATAGAGACATACGCCGACGCCGTCTCTCAGATTGCCGTCTCGAAGTGGGCAAAGTTGACCGTCAGGAAGGTCAAGCTCAAGCTCGACGCGATCCGGGAAGGCACTTACAGGGAGCTGTCCAGAAGGAATGAGAAGCAGTATTCTTGTGCGTTTACCGACTGGTGGACCACAATTCGCCTGCATCGCAGATTCAGTAAGGCTCCTGTCTCATTTGAATGATCCATAGCTAACTATCTCAACTACAGTCACGGATTCGGAGTACCGGGCTCTCCGCGACAGTGGTTTCGTCAAGGTGATCAGATGGGAGGTGAATGACATCCAGCCCTTTGACGAGCGCTTCCGCGACTACCTGCAGGAGAACGTGAGAGCAGCTGGGGGGGCGATGGGTCCCCTGCAGAATGTGGCGATGGGCCCTCTGCAGAACATGAAGACAGCCGGTGCGGTGCAGCCTGCGCCGCCCGCGCCCAAGCCTGTTCAGGACGCGCGCGTTGAGGACCAGCGCCGCAGGCTGTCGGAGCTGGCACTCCATTGCCTGCGGGATCACGTCATGCCTGGCGACATGACGAGTTACATGACGGATCTGGCAGACCACGCGAGAGCCTTCTCAACCTCAGGAACAAGGATGACATGCGACTCTCGGCCAGCGACGTCGACGCGGTCATTTCCGACCAGTGGCGTGTGTACAACGGCGACGGCAAGGTCGCAGAGAACGCCAAGGCTGCTTCGAGCTGGTACTGGAGTCGCAAGCAGGAGAAGCAGACACAGCAGAAGCAGCAGACGCAACAGAAGCAGTAGACGCAAGAGCAGCAGCAGACGCCGAATGTTGTGCATACGTCTTGGCTGCCCCCTGAGTTGGCGGCTTCGACCGTCGCGTCGGCCTTCTCGCTGCCTTCGAGGACTAGGCCACCCCACGGCTTCCCTCACGGCCGCCGTTGAGATGGCAACTGGATGAGTAGGGTGTCTGGGAGACTTCTCAGACTAGCAGATTGGCAGGAATTGTTCGAGACTTCTCGAACTAGGTGGTCAGCAGCAGGTGTCATAAACAGCAGTCAGTAGTCAATAGAAACAAGGTTCTGGTGTGAAATTGCATGTGCCTGTTCCATGGCGATGTAAAGTGGTCCATTCATTAATTGTGATAAGTGTAGTTGATGGCGCTCATCCTCTAGACATGTTGCCAAACGGTTGACTATAGATGTCGCTTAAAATCATGTGCATTTGGGCCAATGTGGGGTTTGCGTGTGCTTGATTTTGCTGGCCGGACAGTGTTCACACACATGCATGTAATCCATATATCGTCGTCTTTATCAATACTACTATTCGTACTGCTATGATCGTCGCTGATGTTATCGTCTATCGTCATCACCTCTATTATCGGCATCTCTATTGACGTCTTCTCTATGGTCGTCTTCTCTATTGTCGTCGTCTCTATTGTTGTCGTCTGCGTCGTCGTCTTTATTGCACCCCCTGTCGTTTTCTCTACTACCCTCGTTCTTATGAGGGTATTAGGTATGTTGATTGAAGTTATAGGAAACACTGTACGGCTAAAGACTCCTTTGTAAGACACCAAAGTAGCAAAGGACACCTTCCTGCTTCACAAGAAACCTGAATCTTGTACAGTGGCATGCGAATGTAGTATCCTTGCACTGTGCCTCGTCTGGAATGACTAGAATTCCAGTCGACAAGCTGCGCGCGAATAAAGCTGCCGCAGATGATGAGAAAAAGATCCAAGCCATGTCCCATATTCATTCTTAGATTCATCAGCAAAAATTGAATACACACCGTGTTTCAAGCATGATAGCCTCAAGTCGATGAGATGCAGTCGGAGAAGGTTCAACCCCTGGTCCGAAGGACCCATAATTCAATACCAACGGCCAATCGCGTGTAATGCTTTCTGCTTTCTAGCGGACGCATCCCGCTGAGCGCAGCACTCGAACTTAACATCAACCACACCAGACCTCAACACAGAGAACCACGTCAACTTACGGGTTTGACCATTCGTAACACCAACTGCTCTTCTCGCACCCCATATCTACCGCTCGCAGGACACTTCCGAGGCAGTCGTTGTATGATAGTCTTCATGGCAAGCTAGGCCTTAGTCGTTCTAAGATTTCTCTCGTCAAGAGCAATCGATTTCGTATCTTCGAATACCAGCGTTTCAATTAGCTCTTTCCTGGCAGGTAAGAATCGAGAAGCTGTAACACCCCGCATAACATTCCGTCGCTAACAGACATATCTTAGGTCAAACGCTCTATTTTTGCCGCCTGCCGCGTACGCCCAACCACTCAATATTCAACAATGCCATGTCTACCCCTCACCAATCCGGCGCACTCCCACACCCCCCACCGACAGCGAGTTGCGCCGCCTTGTGCATCTTCAACGTCCCCAGTGGCCTCACGCCAGGCTTCTTTCCACGGTGGCCCTTGAAGTTAATCTTCTTATCCAGCTGCTCAAACGGGCTGCTCCCCGCCTCGCCCTTCTTCACCATCCATTTTGCGGTCCCCAGCGCGGCGTCAAGCTCCTCGACGGGCGGCAGCTTCAAGTATATCATGCCTTCCGGACGCTCTTCCACCGGGAACGTCGCGATGCTGAGCTCTGCGTCCGTCTTGCAGTCGCCGTTGGCCAGGTCGAAGTTACGTTTGTGGTACGGACACGACACCCACGGCGCGGACCGCTTGGCATCGCCGTTGGTGCTGCATCCCGAGTCGGGCTTCTTCGCGTCGCTGCACGTGTCGGTCCCGAGGTCCTCGCCAATGAGACCGTCCGAAAGCACAAAGGCGCGCTTGTGCGGGCACATTTGCTGTGTGGCGTAGTACCTGCCGCGGATTCGCCAGATGGCCAGCTGCGTGTCTCCCCGCTTGACGGTCGCGGAGATGCCGTTGGGCGTCTCGTCGGCGCCAAAGAAGTGGCTCGCTGGAAGCATCGGCTGCCACGCCATGCTGCTCCACCTGCTGATGAGGCCCTTGAAGTCTTCCTTGGCCGAGTCCTTGGCCCAGTACACGGGACGCGGCTGGTCGCGGTCGAGCTCGACCTCCATGTTCTCGAGCGTCTCCTCGGTGTTGTTGAACTGCTTGAACTTGGCGGCGATGTGGGGATTCTTGATCGCCTCGGCCCACTCGTCGAAGAAGCTGTCGACGAGCTCCTGCATCTGAGCTTCGAGAGAGGCGCAGATGCCCAGCTTGTCCTCGAGGACGACCTCCTGCAGGTACTTGATGCCGCCTGGGAGGTTCTCCAACCAGCGGGCGGTCCGCTGGAGCTTGTCGCCGGTGCGGATATAAAACATGAGGTATCTGTCGATGATGGGGATGACCTCGGATGGAGGAACGTCTTTTGCGAGCAGCTCCGAGTGCTTCGGCTTGGCGCCACCGTTGCCGGCGACAAAGATGTTGAAGCCCTTTTCGGTGGCAATGAGACCAAAGTCCTTGTTCTGGGCTTCGGCACACTCGCGGACGCAGCCGCTGACGCCGCCCTTGATCTTGTGCGGCGCGCGGATGCTCTTGTACCGCTCCTCCAACCGGACGGCCATGCCAACACTGTCACCAATGCCGTATCGGCACCAGGTCGTCCCTACACAGCTCTTGACGGTCCTCAGCGACTTGGCGTACGCGTGGCCCGACTCCATGCCGGCCTCGACGAGCGTCTTCCAGATATCCAAGAGGTCCTGCTTCTTTGCGCCAAACATGTCGATGCGCTGCCCGCCGGTGATCTTGGTGTACAGGTTGTACTTGCTGGCCACCTGGCCGATGACGATAAGCTTGTCGGGGGTGATCTCGCCGGCAGACACACGCGGGACGACGCTGTACGTGCCGTTGCGCTGGATGTTGCCGAGGAAGCGGTCGTTGGTCTCTTGCAGGCCGTGCATCGGTGTGTCCATGACGTGGCGGTTCCACAGCGAGGAGAAGATGCTGCCGCAGGTGGGCTTGCAGACTTCGCAGCCCATGGACGCAGGGTCGTTGCCGGCCTCTCTCATGACATCTTCAAACGTCTTGAGCTTCTTGACGAGGATGATGTTGTAGAGGTCGGCGCGGGAGTAGTTGAAGTGGGCACAGAGGTGGTTCTTGACCTCGTTGCCCATGGACAGCATCGTCTTGTTGAAGATGGTGGTGACCAGCGGCATGCAGCCACCGCAGCCCGTGCCGGCTTTTGTGCAGGTCTTGACGTCGCCGAGGGTCTTGCAGGTGCCGTCTTTTACCGAGTTGACGACGTCTCCTTTCGTCACGTTGTGGCACGAGCAGATCTGGGTGTCGTCTGTTAGGTCGTCCCCGTCGTCTTCGCCCTCCTTCTTGGCGCCTAGTATCAGCTGGCTGGGCGGCATGTCGAGCTCCTTCATGTTCTTGACTAACGGCACCAGCTTGATGTAGTCTTTGGTGTCGCCAATCATGATACCGCCGAGCAGGTATTTGCCGTCTTCCGTGAAGATGTACTTTTTGTACACATTCTGGAATGGGTCACGGTATGTCAACGCCTTGACCGGGGCCGGTGGCAGGCCGTTGGTTAACGTCTCGATAGTGCTCTGCTCGTCCTTTTTCGCCTTTCTTGCCGCTTTTGGGGGCAGGGACTTCGGCCCTTGTGTGTCGGCAAAGTAGTCGCCAAAGCTCGCCACGTCGACACCGAGCAGCTTGAGTTTTGTGCTGAGGTCTGGCCTCTTGAATATCCGCGGCTGGTGCAGCTTGGCTTGTGTGAGGTTGAAGGAGAGGACGTCGGCCATCTCGACGCCGGGGCCAATCAAGCCGAACGCCATGCCCTTCCAGCTGGCGCATTCGCCGATGGCGTAGATGTCGGGAACGTTGGTGCTCATGTCGTCGTTGACAATGATGCCGCCGCCGCGATCGGCACACTTGATGCCCGCCTTGCGTGCGAGATCATCTCGTGGCCGTACACCAATAGCGAAGCAAATGGCCGAACAGTCGAGGCGTTCGCCATCCTCGAAGCGCACGCCCTTGACGTGGTTGTCCTCGGTGGTCTCAATCTCTCCAACGCGTTTGCTGAGCATGATGTCGAGGCCGAGATTCCGCACTTGGTCCACCACCATGGCACCGGCATCCTCGTCAATCTGGCGACTCAGAACCCAGCGGTTCCTCTCAATGATCTTGACTTGGTTGAAGCATTCAAGATCGACCATGGCCTTGGCAGCCTCCAGACCGAGCAGACCACCGCCGACGACTGCTCCGTCGGTGCCTTTTCTTGTGCCGGAAAAGGCGATGAGCTTGTTGAGGTCGTCGATTGTGCGGTAGACGAAAACACCCGTTGCGTCATGGCCGGGGGTGTGTTTTGGGAGAACGGCGTCTGAGCCGGTGGCCAGGACCAGGACGTCATAAGGGACGACTTCACCGTTGGAGCAAAGTATCGTCTTTGCTTGGGAGTCAATATCCGTCACTTTGGTGTTGATGTGGTATCCCAGGGAACCTTGGGGAGCGCCGCGATACTACAAACGTCAGCGCGAGCCACGAACGCAGCAACAACCACATACCCATTCTTCCGGGTTGAGGTAGAGGTTCTCAATCTTGCGGTGGTCAAAGAAGCTCGTCAACCCCACGCGGTTGTAAGCCAGGTAGGGCTCCTCCCCGATGATTGTGATGCTATACTCATTTGTCCGCGCATCCAGCTTCAGCATCTTTTCTCTGTGAAACGTCAGCCAAGGCCTCCAACACCACGCGCAGACTCACATGAAGGCCATGCCGACCATGCCCAGGCCGACGACTACGAGCCTCTTTCGTTCCGCCATCGTGAGATGCCAAACGCTACTGAGACACGAACAGAGTTGGGAGTACGAAGAGCAAACGGAGCAAAATGGAACAGATCGAAAGAGACCACACTACAGGACAGTATTATAAACAGCGCATCGTCTTGTCGCCTCACAATGAAGTCAGTTGGCACGATCCGCTGGGATCAGCATCTCCGGGAGTTGGTCCATGACGTCCCAGGAACGGCCGCACCTGATTGGGCGGCGGCGGTCTGAACGATGCATTTCCACGGTCGAAACCAGAGTTTCCGTGCCACACGGCCATGTCTGCGCATGGCGTGCAGGGACATGTGAGTGCGTTCTGGTGGAGGGTGGCACGGGTGCATTACAGGTTCGTTGTTGTATCGCATTCTAGGTCGCTCGAGGTGATAAGGTGAGCTGCCATCGGATGATAAGGTTGCTACTGACCAATCACAGACGAAGGATTGCGGCCCGCAGCGGGCGGCCCTGGCTACGCCCGCGGAGAAAGACGTCTCTGGCCTGCTAGCCGCATTTCTCTTTGCCCATGAAACTAAGGACGTGGGGAGATTCTTCTTGCTGCTGTGTCCTAGGAGAAAGGAAACTCTTCTTCACGGCAGATAAGCGGGAGCTAATCTGATTTATAGGGCGTTTGATTGGACAACGAAGCCTCCCTGGAGCCTCCAGCTGACGATGTCTGAATTCAGTCAACTCACTTGCGTCCGACTCGATCCCATCATTTCATAACGAACGCCCACTCAACCAGATGGCAATCCAGTCCCGTATTCCTCTAGGGTATCACCAGTAGTGTACAGTATCATACAGTCATCTCACGCCACCCTCCTGACGCCGAAAAAGTAGTTGCCGACCTTCTCGCTGCCCTTGACCTCCTTCCAGCCCAGACCGGGCACGTAGACGACGCCCAGGACACGCGGCATCTCCCAGCCCTTGCCCATGAACATGCCCTTGAGCTCGTGGTCGTTGATGTATTTGCGCCAATCGTGGGTGCCCTTGGGCACGATGCCCAATATATCTTCAGCGATGAGGTTCGTCGTGAACCAGCTCATCCACGTCCGCGCGATGGTGCTGCCGACGAGCCACCCGCCGGGCTTCACAAACGGCGCGCAGCGGTCCAAAAACTCCTCCGGCGACGACACATGCTCGACGACCTCGAACACAGACACGACGTCGTACAGCTGCGCCGGCACGGGCAGCGTCTCGATCGTGGCGGACTTGTACTCCAGCCTGCCCCTCAGCGCGGGGTCCCTCCTCGCGTGCGCCTTGGCGATGGCGAGCACGCCGGGCGTCGGGTCGATGGCCGTCACGGCGGTGGTGTCGGGCAGCCGGGCGGCGCTCTCGGCGAAGATGCCGCCGCCGCATCCGACGTCGAGGAACCGGGTCGGCGTCGACGGCGCGTCGTACTGGCTGTTGAGGCAGTCGCGGATGAAGGTGTGTCGGAGCGGGTTCATCAGGTGCAGCAGCCGCGAGGAGCCGTGGGGGTCCCACCAGTCGGCGGCGAGGGCGTTGAAGTGCTCGACCTCGTCGGGAGAGACGGAGGAGAAGGTCGAGTTGAACCGGCGGGGTTGCAGCCCGGCGCGGAGGAGAGGTGACGTCGTAGCCGCGCGGGAGGCTGCGACGAGAAGCCTCGCCCGCAACGAGCGCAGCAGGGCGGCTGCTGGGCGTGACGATGCCATTGCTGGTGTTGCGGTGGTGTGTGCAGAAATGAATCAATGGCAGGTGATGACAAAGCAGGAGATCCGCTGGAAATTGTAGCTTCCCGTCGGCGCTGTTGCCGACCGTCAGTGCACCCCTGTCAACTGCATTAGATGGCAGACGTTCTGCAGGCACGGGATTTCCACCGCAAAGTCGGCGGCGGACCCTTATCCTAGATGTGCACTCCCGGCCCCAGGAACACCTCATGAACAATCAAACGGGGCCGCGCGGGTGCTTCCACCAAGGTTTGTCAGCCAGGCCATCACCTGTGTAATCGGCGGGCCCTCGGACGGTTCGCAATCCTTACGTAATTCACCGAGCCCGCTATCGGTTTGGTGCCGTTCGCATCTGAAAGAAGGCGCCACAGGGGCCCTGGAAGCTAGAAGCCCGACCGCCGACCGAGCAAACAAGAAACAACCCGCGCAGGCCGAGAATCCTCGGCGTGGTCGGCGCCCTGGTCCAGGCACATGGGAACCATGGATGACAGGCACATCATGAGTCAACCGATTGGCGACGGGTGGGCTTCTTGGGGTCCTCTCTGCTCAGCATCGGCCGATAGATTATTAAGTGCAACGACCGGCGCATCGTGAGAACACGTTGTAAAAGTGCCTTACCCGCCGGCGGTTACCGTCAATTACACCTGCAAGATTACCTATCTGCCCGCTGCCGGTTGTCGCCCCTCTCTCGCATGACGGAATCCCTAGCGCAGTGAAGAAAACGAGGACCCCTGCCCGAACCGTGTGCCCGCAACCGCAAAACACCACTAAATTTCCCTCGGAGCCGCTTTCAACTACCCCTCCAACGTCCCCCTCCTCCACGCCGCCAACCTCACCCTTCTACCGCCAACCACAGACCCAAACGCCGCGATGCCCTCCTCGACAATAGACGAGTCCAAGTTTGACTCCATCCCGGATGCCATTGAGGCCTTCCGTAAGCCGTCCCGCGCATCCCGCCTTCTGAGTGACTGCCCCGCTGACCCAAATCCCCAGGCAACGGCGAGTTCCTCGTCGTGCTCGACGACCCCTCGCGCGAGAACGAAGCCGACCTCATCATCGCCGCCGAGTGCCTCACCAGCGCCCAGATGGGCTTCATGATCCGCCACTCGTCGGGCTACGTCTGCGCGCCCCTCAGCCCCGCCATCCTCGACCGCCTCGACCTGCCGCAGATGGTCACCTCGAACGAGGACCCCCGCGGCACCGCCTACGCCGTCTCCGTCGACGCCGCCGACGAGGCCGTCACCACCGGCATCTCCGCCCACGACCGCGCCCTCACATGCAGGGTCCTCGCCGACCCCGCAGCGAAGCCCGCCGACCTGCGCCGCCCCGGCCACGTGCTGCCGCTGCGCGCGCGCGAGGGCGGCGTGCGCGAGCGGAGGGGCCACACCGAGGCCGCCGTCGACTTTTGTCGGCTGGCCGGCAAGAAGGAGGCCGCCGCCATCTGCGAGCTGGTCGACGACGGCACCGTCGTCGAGGGCCAGGCCGTGCACGAGAATCCGGGCATGATGAGGGGCGAGCAGTGCATCGACTTTGCGAGACGGTTCGGGCTCAAGGTGTGCACGATTGCGGATCTGGTGACGTACCTGGAGAAGACGCAGGGCAAGCTGGACGTCAATGGCTCGTCGTAGGGGGGTAAGGACGGGGAGGCGACATAGGAAGAACAGCAGAAAGCCGAGTCCATGACCGGCCACATATACCCATGTCGGGTTGGCAAAAGGCGCTTGGGAATTCGTCACATACACTGTTTGCGCACGTTTCGGCGCATTGGGTACTGGTTGGTATAGCATCACTGAGAGGCACACAAAAGACACCACTCTGTTACCGGCGAGCGTCGTTCAACCGTGTAAGATGTGTATTCGGCATAATCCAAATGTGCGACATGATCCCAAATGTGCTCCGTACCCGCAAAATGATGATGACCAGCCCAGTAGGTGTCCGTCTAGTAACGCCAGCCATGCACCCGTATTGCTCAAATGACCGCCTTCCCTCCCCGCCTACTGCGTCACGCCTGCCGCGCCTACTGCATCTCCTCCAGCGCGCCGTTGACGTGGTATGTGGTGTTGGCGGCGTCGGGGTTCGTGCGGTCCCACGCCCACATCTGCTTTTCCTGCTCCGAGAGCTTGCCCTCCAGCATGGCAACCACCTTTTTGCCGATGACGGGCAGGAACTTCCAGCCGTGGAACGAGCCGCCCGTGGCGAGGTAGAGGTTGTCGCAGCGGGGGTGCTCACCGATGAAGAAGTCGTGGTTGGGGGTGTACGAGTCCCTGGGCGGCATCAGCAGACGTTCACGACTGTCTCAGACACGACTTACCAGCAGAAACGGTACTCTTCAATCTCGCAGCTCTCGAGCTCCTTGCCACACAGACCAACCAGGGTCTCACGACAGAGCTTCTTGATGTCGTTCTGGTCAATGTCGTCGACCCACCGGGTCAGGTTCGCGTCGGTTGGGACGAGGATTTCCCTGTCCTTCTCAAGCGTCCAGCATCCGTCGCGGTTGAACTTGAGCAAGCCGTACTTGTACGACACCAGCTCGCCTGATAAGTCAGCCACGGCCCTCTCTTATGATGAACGTACTTACCCATCACTTCATTCACTCGGTTCTTCCAGACGGGGACGGGGCCGGCGTCGAAACGCTCCTTGAGCTCGCCGTCGATGCGTACGGTGAAGCTGATGGCGCCGGTGGCTTTGAGTCTCTCGCCAGCGTGGAGCTCCTTCCTCTCGGGGGCGCTCTTCTCGAGCAAGGTGGCAGTTCGCGCGCCGGTGCACAGCACCACCTTGCCCCTGAGCTCCTGAGTGGTGCCGTCCTGCAGCAAGACGTTGACGCCCGCGCAGTGGCCGGACTCATCAAAGGTGAGGTTCTGCACGTCCCCCACGACGAGATCGACTCTCGGGTGGCTGAAGGCTTCCCGACGGGTCGCCTCCAAGGCAAGCGCGGCATCGACGTAGCCAAAGTCAGGGTTGTACATCACCTTGTCCGAGGTCCCAAAGTCGGCGTTGGCAAAGACGGGCGTCTGCTTGCGCACCTCGTCGACCGTCATCCACCGAGACTTGGTGGGATATCCGAGCTGCTTGTACGCCTGGAGGCTCTGCTGGTTGAAGTCGTCCGGCTGGCACCGGTACATGCCCACACGGTGGAAGAACTCTTTGAAAAAGGGGTCCTCGAGCCACATGTCCATGGCAGCCCGCGCCATCTCGATGTGAACCGGGATGGCGTAGTCACTCCTGACAATCTTGGAGAGGTCGTGGGACGCCGAGGCAGGGTCCGCGTGGGGATCACGGTCAACAACGACAATGTCGTAGTCCTTGTACGTGTTGCTGTACTGGAAAGCGAGGGCCGTGGAGGCGCCAAAGACGCCGGCACCGACAACGATGATGCGCTCTCTCGTCTTGACAGCCATGATTTATAACGATGTATGAGTAGTGTGTCTTGTGTAAGTGAGAGCTGCTTGGATATCGACAAAACTTTCCCATCTCAGGGGCAAGCCACGAGCCTTTTATACAAGAAACGTCAGCACCACTCTCCTCATGGAACATCAAGACGGAAAAGACAGGCAGAGGAGAAAGAGCTCGATACGCACCGGTGTTGTACCCGTCGGCCATCGACCGCAACCTCACCCCGTTCCTCGAGAAAGGTGCTTCAAACTTCCCCCTCGAGACGCCCACCCGGCGGCAGTGCAGGAAACCCCCATCCAAGACCAGCAGACCGGCATCTCCCATCCCGGGCAGGGACAGAATTCCATGTCGTCAGCTGGATGGAATGATCTGACTTTGGCATCTTTGAACAATCCATATCCCAGCGGCCGCGGCGCAGAAAGAAACTAACGCGGCTGCGACATGAACGGGCGGGAATAAACTAGCACGCATCATCACGTATGGGCCCCAAGCCATGGCACTCGCCCCGTCATTGTTTCGGTCTTGAGAAAGAGACAAGTGAGGCAGATACCCGGTATATGATCCGGTGTCTCTCTACCTCTGGCCAGAGGTCGTCAGCCAGGCCCCCCGCGGCTCGAGATGAAGGCCTTCCGGGAGACAGATCTGCAAATCAACAGGTCCATTCTGTGTGCCTGAAAAGGTACGTTGGGCTCGTGGAAAAAGAGTTGTGACATGACGGTTGCCAGAGTGGGTGTGTAAGCTGAATGGTATGGCAAGCAAGGGGGGTTGTCGCTGTGTGGGTGTGGCTGGAAGGCACGATCTCAACCACGGCCGCCGTTCACCATGCCCATCGCCCCTCCTCTGGTCCAACGCAACTCGACAAGGAGGGAGCTCCGCGCGCGCTGATTGGGGCGCCCGAACGGTGCTCCCATTGGCGCCCCGCCTTTTTCATGTCAATAGCGTTCTTTCCTCTGAGAACAGTCAGGGCACCGCATTTCACGTCCATCCGCACCGCACCTCCCCTTCGATCTAGTGCATGGTGTCTCGTCGCTAAAACGAACCCGGTAAACGTCCCCATATCGCTAAGGCAGAATCATACCAAAATGGCCGTCCTATTTTCTGCTTTCTCTTTCTTCCAAGATTCTCTCTCCAGACGCCCCCAACGCGGCCCAGCTCAGCCCACTGAGAAAAAAAGCGTGAGGAACTTGGGTTTCCCTTCTCCCAGGACCCTGTTCACTGACACGCTAGCCAGCTTTCCCCTTCCCTCACCCGACATCACATCGCCGGGTGTCGACTCCGCCTGGGGTGCCGATATCAGCGAAACTTGCCTCGATGGGCAACCTTCAGCGATTCCCGCCCGCCCCAGTATTGTGCTCCTTATCCGGATCATGTCCACACGTGTGTGTCAGTCTCCTGGCCGTCGTTTCTTTTTCGGTTGTCCATCTTCACATTCTGATCTCGCGGCCAGAATCAGGTCCATGATGCGCCATCGACAGAATCTGCAATCCGCCATGCCTCGACATATCCAGATCGAGAACATCGCTGCTGAATCTCACGTCCTGCTTCTAGGTGTAACACGAGCGAAGCAGGAGATGTGCTCAGCCAAGAGGGGTTCAGTCGGGCTTCATGTCCGACTCCGTCGATTATGACATGGCACATGGGAAATTCGAAGCCCATCACATTTCCCGTTATTTCCCATCTCTGACCAGACCGGCTTAGCTACGTAGTACCACCTCAGCCATCCGCAAGGCCCAGGCGATTGGCCAAGCCCACGACTGGCATTTTATGCCACCCTCCAGCACCTCGTCGTCGCGTTAGCGTTGGCGCCAGAGAAGACGTACGTTTGCCCTTTTCCATCCTCCTGCCGTATATTACGCCATGGCTATCCGTCTGGCTTCGTGTATGCCCGCAGGCGAGGCCGAAGAGAAAAATCTCACGACGGCGGTACGCGACCAATCGCTTATAACAAAAGCGAATGCAGCAGACACCCTTCCAGGCGGCAGATGCGCCTCGCGTGAGCCAATTTGGGATCAGATCTTCCTTCCCACGCGGCGGTGCGTTACACATCGCCACGCCTACCTTACGCTCTGCGCAGCATGCCGTGTAAGACTGTACGAAACGGTGACAGGCATTCCCGGGGCAGTCAACCCTCTCCCACTCGACAACCAGCCCCGGGGGATGCCCCGCCTTGCGGGAAACAAACGGTGAGGAGGCTGCGCCGCAGAGGACAGGAGAAGAGCCCGTTCGGCCTGCTTCCCGTGCTCTGCTCCCCTGTGCCCTTGCCGCAAACCCGGAGCACGCCCTCCTGCTGCCATGTCGGTAAGTGAAGATCGGTCTCCTTGCATGACAGCCGAAGAGCAGCCTCGTTTTTAGCAGCCTAATTATCAGTCGATCTTGGAATTCAGGCCTGGCAGGAACCTTGGTGATGACTCTCGCGGACGAGTCAGCCCAGGCGGCTCATCTGCTCCAACACCAACAAGAACAGGAATCAGACAAGACAATAGTCTGTCCACCGGCGATGGCGTCTGCATGGGTTGGCCCATGTTTCACTGCCATCGCATAGACCTCGACGTTGCAGGCTCATGAGAGGCACGGTGATGAGCCCACGGCCACCGATTGGGCTGACTGGATCTCGGTCAATGTTGGCATTCACTCGGGGCATTTCACTCGGGGTTTGACCCATGAAGTGCTGATGAGAATTCGTGTTGGAACCAGCATACTGGTCTGATACTTTCGTCGCGCATAATAGCGCATATGACAACGGGTTGGATGCCCAACATCCAACCAACCAAACATGGTCATCGCCATGACCTGATCCGCCCGCCGCGCCCTTTCGCTATTCCTGCCATCCCATTCAAAGACGGCCGACCATGCAGCCCATAACTTTAAAAGACCGTTCGTGATCCAGCCGCATGATAGTAGTACACCCAGTTTGCCAAGACTCCGTAGATCGTTTACCCGTTGTGCCATCAAAAGTCCATATACGCGCGCTATCACAAATCAGAGGAAACAAGAGAAAGTGCGAACCCTTCGGGACGTTGTCTCGCTGCTGCTGCCCCCCTCACCTCACTTTTTTTTTCATGTCACCATCCCCAGACCATCCCCCGTAAACCTCCGCTGCTGCTACTACTGCAATGCTACCTCCGTGACGTGGGATAATAGGTCGTCGTTGTCACCGGGGGCTGGCTCTCGTTGGGGTCTTCGTGCTTGACGTTTAGCTGATGCCTGACGAGCTGGTCCTTCCTCGCGAACCCCTCTTTGTTCGGACACCCTGGCAGATTGCACCTGTGAGGTTTGGAGTGCTTTTGCAGGTGTTGTCTGCGGGCCAGTCAGCGATGATACCTCGAGTTGTGACGGACTCCGCCATACCTGAACATGCAGTTGCGTGTGAAATACCGCGGGCCTCCGTCCTCCTTCTTGCCCCCTTTCTGGCACGAACGCCATTCCGGGCAGATGTAGTGGCCCTTGCCCCTGTGCTTCAGCTGCTCCATGTCGATCTTGTCTGCGCGCGCAACCTCGTCGTCCATCGAGAGCCCGTCGTGCATGCCCGACATCTCGTAGTCGTCGCCGTCGTAGTCATCATCGTACCCTGGTGAGCCGGGGGTGAGCGACCGCCTGTCGCTTCGGGCGTGTTCGCTGCGTGTCGTGTCCCCGCGGGCGAGAGACGTCCCGACGGACGACTGTGATGCGGCCGCGGAAAACGGCCCCGTCGAGAACCCCGAGACGCCTGTGGAGATGGAGACGGACGACCTGGAGCAGGAATCTGGGGCCACGGGCTGCCGCGTGGGTTCGGGGTGAGCGTGTTCCTCGGCTTGCACCAGAATGTCTCGTATCTCCCGCTGGGCCTTGAGCACGGTTTCGCTGATTTGCCTGCCAAAAGTGTCAGTGTTGGGAAACCCATCCAAACGGATCCTCCAACCCACCTGAGTGTTTTGCGCTGCTTCGTTGCTACCTCGAGGATGCCCATTCCCTGCTTTCTTTCGCACAGCGCCTGATCCACCAGGTTGTAGCCCGTCGACTGCAGGTTCTGCTCGTCCGTGAGCAGCGCGATAAACTCTGCCACGCGGGCAAAGGCGTGCACCGAGGCTTTGCCGTAGTATGCCAGGACGGTCTCATCTTCGTTCCTGTGTGGGATATCCCCCGGGTGCAGCTGGCAGGCTCTCTTGTATTGTCGAAATGCTTCAGTCTCGGGGTCCAGTGGCTGGTCTGTCTGGAGCAGCGAGCGGATGTCGAGGGCCGCCATGGTGTATGAGAGTCCTGGGGAAACAAGACAGCATGCGAGTTCCCGGCGAACAGGTCAAGGTGGCGACCGCCGAGGTTATCAAAGCTCCTCCCACAACGGTCAAGTGCGAGGAAGCAAGCTCAGACTGTGGCCTGCGTGGGTGTCAAGACCGTTGGAACGACGGATCAAGAAACAGTCGAGGAACGCCAAGTGGGTCGGGTCGAGATGGGAAAGCAAACGACGGGATGCGATTCAGGTTTGGGCGCACCAACAGCGAGAGGAACAGCAAATTGACGAGAGCGGAGGAGAACGCCGGTTTGGAAAAAGGACTGAGTCCAAGGTCCAGGTCACAATTCAGCAAAAGAGTTGTAGGATTGCGGGCAGGGGGAGATGGACGGCGGTTGATGGGGAGCCGGGTGGAGAGCGGGCCAAGTCAAGCGTTACGGGAAAAGAGGAAAGAGATAATCAGGTAATGATGGCGAGAGGTCAACCGTGACCAGAGCGCGCGCGCGGGGGGAGGGGAGAGCGGCGAACACCCAAAAGCTCGACGCCTTGCCCACCGGGTGGAATGGATGGGGGCGAAGACAGCGGCAACGGCAGCGAGAGATTGAACGGCGCGTGGTCGAGCCGGACGCGAGGGGGCAGCATGAGGGCGGAGTTGGAGCTGCGAGGGAACGACTTGGGGAGGAGTGTCTGGTGTGCGAGGAGTCTCTGAGGTGAGTCGTGGGCGAAAGTCCCTTGCCTCCCACTACGCCCGTAATGCCCGTAACGACCCGTTTGGCCAGGCCAAGATGAGGGGGACAGGCATGACGACCAGTGAAGAGCGGGTTAATGCTCTGCTGCTGCTGCGTGTCTGGGACAGATCAGGCTCGGGGCCAATGACCAGATGGCTGCTGTCCGGTAAGCAGGCAGGGCAGCAGTCAAGTCAGGTAGCAGGCAGATGGATGGTGATGGCGACGGCGGACAGAGAGAGCGGGCGCGCGCGCTGGTGTCCCAACATAGGTCAGGTACCTGACTTGATGCTACCTGGCAGGTGTAAGCAGCGATTGACAAAAGAGGGAACGGGGGTGTGACAAGAAGAAGCAAGCATGCGGCTGGCGACAGGGCAGATGTGGTCCAGAACATGGGCCATACGATGGAAGATGGGGGGAGCGGGCAGGCACGGCGGCCTTGTCGTGGGGCAGAGGTAGCCTTGGAACACTGCGAAGTTGGAGCTCGTCACATTTGGCCGCGGTCCGTTGGTCCCACAGCTGTTGGTAGCATGGCATTGTGGTCAACATGTGTGGTACTTTGTCGGATCCGCAGTACGGATAAGGCATCACGTATTTGCAGTGCTGCGAGTCGAGGAATCGACGACGGACGTTGTTTGCTGCTTGTTCGAACTTGTCGACACTGACACTGACACTGGCCGCCCGCCGGGAACCCTAGGATCGGGAAATAGGCGGTGTCGGTGACGGCGGGATGGCGCTATCTGGGCGGTATCCGGGCGTGGGCGTTGTGGAATGAAGCATGGAGCGAATGCATGGGTCTGGACGAGGAGGAGAAGGAGGCGGCAGGCTAGACAGGGTAAGACATTGTGGCGGGCGGGGGTTGTTGTTGGAGGTGTGTTGGTGTGTTGGTACCAGGTTCGTTGGTGCTATCGGCAGGCGTTGTTGGTAGACTTGGTTCCAATGGTCCCTATCCGTCGTGTATTGCGTAGCAGATGGTTGCTATCGCTGTTGGTGCTGGTGTTGGTGCTGGTGTTGGTGTTGGTGGTGTTGGACTGGACGTCGATGACATGCGAGACAAGGGTGCCCGTCCATGACCCATCCTGTCCACCTCCTCCTTCACATGAACGGCCAGTTGAGGCTTTCTTCTTTGAGATATGCGAGATTGGGGATGAAGAAAGCTGAGGGGTACGGTGGTGATGATGCGCGTCGACACCGTCTTGGAAGCTCGATGCGAGACAAGGCCAAGGCTCACCAACGGCTGGCTCACCGAATTGCTTCTGGATGGATTGATGAGGTGTGTTGGTGGCAGAAAGCTGGAACTTTGGGCGAGACGCATGGCCACCCCGGCACACCGGTATCCTGGTATCAGTGGAGGCATCCAAAATGGCAGGCTGGGTTGGGCTGTTTGCTCCTCACTCCTCTCGCTGCTGCCGCTCTTCTCCCGCTTCCGCCGGCCCCGGATGTTGGTGGTTGATAAATATCCCTGCGCCAGCCCGCGAGGAAAAAGAAATGTTGACTCGTTAGATGTAGAAAAGAAGGCAATGCGTGGAGGAGAGGAGGAAGGAGGGAGGAGGAAGAGCATGGGCCAGCGGGCCAACGAGAAGGCAACAGGGCAGCTGGGTGACATTCAAGGGTCAGGCCGGCCGGGGTCAGCACCGCACCTCATGGTGAGCCAGGACCAGGTTCTGTTCTATTCGGACATAGACCGGGGTTGGAGGATAGGTAGGCAGGGTGCAGGCGGCAGGCATCTGAGCCTCGCCCTCGAGCCCTCGCCGCCAACTCGAGCTCTTTGGGCCAGGTGCAGCAGCAGCAGCAGCGCAGCAGACGAGCTGGTTCGATTACCAGTGTCTGAGAAAGCTGCGGGCGGCTCTGAATCGGGAATGGCAAGCTGTAGAGCTGTTCAAGGGACAGGGAGACATGCTGAGGGTTTTTGAGACTGCAGCGAGTGCGTGAGTGATCGATTACACACAACTCCTCCTCAGGCAGGGCAGCTTAGATATGCACGACTTTTCACTTGTATCTCGTCCAACATTCCTCTTTCTCCTGCTGTTCCCTCCTTTTTTTTTCTGCCCGCTCGGCTTGCTGCCCTCTCCTCACTCGCCCCCTCCCCGCTGCCCAAGGTACCCTACGTTCCTCCTCCTTCTTCACGTCTGCCCTCTGCTCTCCGAGCTCTGGCCAGCTGCCCTGATAACTAACCTTTGGTGTTTCGGTTTCTGTCTCTGTCGCTTGTCTCGTCGCTGCTTTGTCCGGCATTGCACGTCCAGCGACAACTTGGGCCACAAATAACCGACAGGGCAGGAGATGTCGAATTAAGCTCACACCCCGTCCCGTCGACTTTGAGTTCGGCCTGGCGTGACATCCGCAGCCAGCATCAAGCCAGCATCAAGCCGTCCCCGTCCCCGTCCTCGTCCGCGAAGCACGCACGCACGCAACGTGTCGCATCTCGCCACTGGGCCAGTGAACGACCGCAGAGTACGAATACCTACGTGCGATAGGACAGGACCACTTTCACCCGAAGTCGCAGTCTCCTCCGTCGGGTCCCTCCTTTCTCTTTCCTTCTCCCGTCTCGCTCCAGGGTCGGGTGGAGGAGGAGGAACCTACCCTACCTTGCCTGGGGTCCCGTCGCCGCGTGTTGCCTCCCCCCACCGGCGGTAGAGCGGTAGCGGTAGCGGTACCGTAGCCGCTGCGCTGCGGATCAGTACCCACGGCCCTTTCTTCCACTGTTGTTCATCACTTCTACCAAGGCCGTATTCATCCACTGCCCTGACCTCGGGTTACTCGACGTCCGTTTTCTCCCAGGAACAGCAACTTCACACACCTCTCGCTTGCTTCCCTCCGCATCTCTCCATCGGTCTCTCGGGCCTCAATCTTTGGTCGGCCACAGTGTCAGGTATCGAGGCACCCGCCGGCAGAGGAGCATCGGCGCTGCAACTAGACCTGCGTTCGCCTCCACCTCGTTACGTCTGCACCGCACCCTCGCCCTCGATCGTGCCGTGTCAGCAACATCCAAGACAGTGCGTGACTGGAGCTGCCTCCTTGCATATCCATCAGTCTCACTCTCTCTTTTCTCAACAAGCGAGGTAAGGACACCAGTCTGTGGGTGGCCTGGCCATCCCACTGGACCACCCCGCCCTTCCTTCATTCCTTTGCTCATCATCATGCCCTACGGAGGGGAGGGGATCCCTCTTCCTTAGTCTTCATTTCTCCTCACCGGTCATGTAGCTAAAAGATCGCGTCACAGTTGCAGCCGCGCTAAGGCACCCAACGCACGGCAGGACGAGACAGGGCGCCCTATCCTATTGCCTCACGTCCGTCGTCTTCCAGTCCAGTGTCTCTCTGCTCTTCTCGCCTCGCTGGGTGTGCGTCTACTACACCACTACAACTTGGTACACTACATTCCGGCATCCGTGCCTAGGTCTCTCTCTCTCCGCGCGCTACTGGGCGCTACCTCGCTGTCCCGTGCGGGCAAGACCACCACCGCCGTCCCATCACAACTCAGACAGAACCAGTGCCGTCCGATGAGCGGGAAGGTCCCATTGGCTTGAACTCTATTCTGCGGCCGCCAGCCAGATCAAGCAAGACATCACCGAGCGACATCAGGTCATTTGACAGGTTGCGTCTGCCCTTGTCTTGCCTCCTGTCTCTTGCTTGTCTCCTGCCCAAGGCTTGTCAGCATCAAATCCCCTCAATCTGCATCTCGCACACGAGACATACATGCTCGACGACTCCTCGCATCCTCACATAGACAGCATTCCTTACATCACACGCTGCACGGAGGTTTCCCCGACTCGCGCACGCCCTGGCAACACCTGCCAAGACGAGACGAGACCACAGAGAGAGATATCCAGGGTGTCGCGCTTCCCGCGGCCGTCAGCTCCATACTCGTCTCCATCCTCATCTGCGAGGTGAAATCTTAATCAGAGACCAGCCTCAACGGCGGACAGTAGCGAGTCCTCCGTCCGTGCCTTGCCCTGAGCCTACGTCTGGCCTTACGGACGGATACCATTCTATTCGTACCCAACGTCCAAGGCCCTTTGCCTGACGTCCAGTCCACGCCTCGTGCCGTCGTACCTGCTCTTGCTCTTATTGCCTCTACAGGGAGGGCGGGCTCGGCCAGAGTGGACCACCGCTAAATTAGGGGCCCCGGCGTTTCGGTCCCGGCCTGTTCGGTGCCCTCAGTGCCCCGTTGCCTTGCCTTTAGGTCCTCTGCGCTTATCCACAACCGCTGTCACTGTCACGCTGGGGGAGCTGTCATCCCTACGCCGTCCGCACCCTTTGCAACGCTAATTGGAGTGACCGTCTGACCCGCCAGCGGCCGACGCTCGTCGCCAGCACACTGGAGAGGATACTTTGCAACGCGTTGAATGAGAGCACAGAGCCGCGTACGGATACCTCGACAATCAGCCGCGGGTGCCGTTGCCGGAGCCGACCGTTGTCGTCCTGGCCTGGTCCTGGCATTTGTTTGCTGGCCCTACCGAACGCCCTGGCTCGTGTTAGCGAGACCAGCGCCGGGGGGAACACGGCACGCCTGCTGTTCTCTCTTCGGCCCCATCCCATCTTTCCTCACTGGGCCGCACCTGCACGACGCTAAGCGCTCTGTCGTTGCGGGCTCCGCCTCAAGTGTCTCCTCCTCCTGCGTTCCCCCATCAGTCCTCCCTGGCCTCCCCACACGCGGAGTGCGAGCTCTCCACTCACGATTCAAACACGCCGCGATCCCAGCACCCCCGACCCGGGCGTTGTCCTCCTCTTTTCTGGAGACACTCGTCCTCCTGGACATCCAGTCTCCCGATTCCGGGACCCGTCCCGGTGCTGGAGCTGGTGCTTCATCCGACCTAGTCTAGCTTTTGGCCCGTCTATTAGGACATGGCCAGCAGTTTTGCCATCACGAACAGGCCTCGCAAGAGAGCCCGCGAGGTCGATCCGCCGTGTTCTAGCTTGGCCTCTCCCCCGTCGTCTGACCCGTCCACGTCGCCTCCCAACTCTGCGACGCTGCTGGCTAGTGCGGAGACGAGCTACCAGACGAGTCATACTCACAGCAACCTTCAATCGCCCCCCGCAGAAGTCGCCCAGCACGAACCATCGAACCCGCCCGCTCGGAGACGTCGTTTGTGTAATAATTCACGATTTGAAAGGAGCCACCCGTCGGCGCAGTCCTTGTCCCGTAAGCTACCGTTTGACCCCTGTCCCGCGAGAGGCACAGCAGGGAAGCAAGAGGGAAAAGGGGAAACAAACAGTTTGAACAATGGACTGACAAGAGACAGGACTCGCTGATGGGCCTCTGCACGGCCCGAAACCGCCATCATCACATTATGAGCTCATCGTCACGCCCCAGCTTCCGAGGGAATGCCCCCTTGAGCTGAACTTTTCTAGTCCGTTTGAGGATCACGTAGAGACGAGGCAGCTGGAAGGGCTCAACTATGTGAGACTTGAAAAGGGCATCGTCAATGGCTACATCAAGCTCGGCGCGCCCCGGCTTGCCGCGGGCCACGAGGGCGACGACAACCGCCAGAAGAGCCCGCACAACAAACTGACCGTGTGGTTGAGGGCCCACCAGTACCCAGATCAATGGTTCGAAGAGCTTCATCCCACCGACCAGAGATTCTTTGGCTTTTGTGAGTTCAGCACCATGCGCATTTGTGAGCACCGCTAATTCCACAGACATTGTCGCCTGGTGCTCTGGCCGGACAGTGCTCCGGAGGACCAACACTTGGCTGGTGGACATTGCGCAGATGGCTTACAAGGACAACTGCGTCAAGCATGCGCTGCTCGCGCTCGCCGGCACCTACGTCTTTGACTACCGGCCGCTGCAAAAGTACAAAGACATGGCCGAGTATCACTACAAGAGGGCGGTGATACTGCTGAGCCTGCAGCTCGGTGCCGCTCGCAACGACAGCCTGAGCGACGGTGACATGGAGGCCGTCCTCGCCGCCATCGCCCTGTTGAACATGAACGATGTCGTCTGCAGCGAGCACTGGCGCCTCCAGAAGCGGGTCCCCCGCTGGCTGGACGGCGCCCGCCTCTCCTGCCAGCTGCTGGACACGTCGGACCCGGGCCACCGCTACCGGGATCCCGTCAACATCCAGCCGTCGGACGCCCGCGTGGGCAACGCCATCCTCGCCAGCAGGGCCGCCATCTTCGCGCTCCCGATGATGCCGCTCATGCTCGAGAACACCAAAGACAAGCAGTTCGTCTGGCTGCTCCAGGGATCCGAGCTGAACACGAGCAGGATCCACGGCGGGTGCGGCATGTCCCCGTCGCTCCTCTACCAGTTCGCCCAGATCACCCACACGGCCGCCCTCACCCACCTGGACCCCGTCGACAGCTCCTTCTTCGCCGGTCCCATGGCTCTGCGCATGCTCCACGACCTCCTGGGCCTCTCCCAGTGGTACGAGTTTGAGCGGGCCACGGGCGTGACCAAGGTCAAGGTGGACATCGACACCATCGCCGGCCTGCTGCGCTCCGGCCACCTCGACGCCCACGGCGCCATCAACTCCAAGGAGGGCATGACGGCCTCGACCGCGGAGGCGTGGCGCTTCGCCGCCATCATCTACCTGCAGTGCCGCCTCCTGAGGCTGCCCCGCAACCACCCGGACGTGCTATGCCAAGCCGCCAACCTGGCGGCGACCATCCGTGTCATGCCCACGTCGGGCTACATGTTCACCGCGCAAGCGCCCTTCTTCCCCGTGTTCCTGCTGGGCGTCGTAGCAGTAGAAGAGGAGCACAGCAAGTGTGCCCTCGACTGGTTCGAATCGGTGACCGAGACAAAGTGCCGCTCGGTAAGTGCCGTGCCATCCATCCATTCCGTGACCCAATGCCCGGCCAGGCTGACCCCCCTTTCGTAGAGCGTCCCGCCCGCGTATGAAGCTTTGAAAAAGACCCGCGAGTGGATGGCGTCCAACGTCCACGACGCGCCGCTGCCCATCCCGGACCGCATCGTGGATCGCCACGGCTGGTGGGAAGACGTCGTAGATCACGTAAGCAAGACTTCGGGGACGCTGTGCTTGGTCTAGTCATGAATATAGATTTGCAGCCGAGGCGCAGTCACTACATGTGCATTTAGATTCGAGGCGTTCGTTCTCCTGGGTGTATCATGAAAGAGGTATACTAAGCAGATCATGAGAGATGCCATCCTTACTCAAACTGGGTGGAACATCAGAGGCATACCATTACTCATACAGGTGGACCATGAGAGATGCCATTCTGTCGCTTACTGGGTTGGACCATGAGAGGCGTTCACCATTCTGTCTCGTATTGGATGGACCATGGGTTCATTAACATATATTACGTTGTATTGCTATTGCCGCCGCTGTCTGCTTTCAGCGGGAGATTTCCGTTGGGTATACCAAAGGTGCGTACCAGCGTGTCCCCTTTGCTGGTCACCGTCTAAGCCACATTGAGACAGAAGGGAATAGACCCAGAAACCGTCAACCTGCCCCGTCCGTGTTGCCTGTTGCCTTGTTGCCCTGCCTCGCAGCACTAAACACCGCTGACACTGATGGCACTATCATCACTGTCAGACGACTGCTCGGCGCCCGTGTCCAGGCGGATGAGGTACTGGCGCATCTCGGAGCCCTCAATCGCCCACGACTTGACAATCTCCAGCCCGGCCGCCGCGCACATCTCCCTGACCATCCACTGCGGGCGCTTGTGCGCGTCGAACCAGTCGATCTCGGTGCCCTGCTGCAGGACCAGCCCCGCGTCGCCCCCCGTGGCGGCCGCCGAGACGGCGACGTCGCGGTTCGCCTTGAGGAAGAAGCGGTGGCGCCCCTCGTCCTCCTCGATCTCGCCGCAAATATCCCAGTCCTGCGCCTTGAAGACGGCCTCGCCGAGGAGCGCGTTGGCCCGCTCGAGGCCCTTGTGGAAGAACGTCTCAAAGAGGTCCGGGTGGGCGTGGTAGGCGTCCCAGACCTTGGGGGAGGTAACGTCGTGGCCGTCCATGCCGGCGAGGATGAGGTCGTCGGGGCGCATGATGGTGGACCACTCGCGGAGGGAGGCGACGGCCTTGGCCCAGGGGTCGTTGAAGAGGACGGAGCCCAGCGACAGGAAGACGCGCGGGGCGTCGGCGGGCAGGGCGTCGCTGTAGTCCAGGCCGGCCGCGAAGTCGCCCCAGAGGCCTGCCATCCTGACGCTGCCGCCGGCGTGGGCGGGCGAGAGGAGGTCGAGGTTGGACCGCAGCGACCGCTCCGAGATGTCGAGGGCGAGATACGTGGCCGGGCGGCCCATGGCCTTGAGCTGGTCGAGGAGGTAGTTGACTTTGCGCATGTCGCTAGAAAGGTCAGCGGTGGTCCGTCTTCACGAAGGGGGCTACTCACCCAGCACCCAGGTCAACCATGACGGCGCCCTCGGGGATGCCGACGGCAATCTCGGCGCTGTTCTCCTTGAAGAGCTGGATCTCGTCGCGGGTCTGGTAGTTCTCCTTTGTGAAGATGATCTTGGCCCAGATCGCGAGGCCCTCGTCGGTGTACAGGAGCTCGTCGGGCATGGTAGGGTACTGCTTGGCGTCGCCCTTGCGGGCCGCCATGCGGAAGACGGCGCGCAGGTCGTCCAGGACGTTGGAGGACATGCTGCCGCCGCCAATGTCCAGCACGGTGCCGTGCTCAGGAATCTGGGCCGTCTTGACGTGGGGTCCCATTGTGACTGGTTGAGAGTGGTGGTGGTCTGGTGACGGATGAGGCTATTGCCAAAATGGTAACAGTGAAGGTGGAAGTGTGATGGATGAGGTGGTTGTTTGCGGGTAGCTGCAGGCTCTTGTTGTCGACGTCCGTCTATATATACTCGTGGAGCGGGCATTCACTTCACCTCACCTCACCCCTTAGGCTGATCCTGCCTCGCATCCATTTGATCCAATCTCTTGTGCTTGATTCACTCCCCAGCCTCTGATGTTGACAGCCCTCGCTCAACCAGCAGAAGCCCCCCACACTGGAGGGCCTTGGCGACACTGCCAAACGAATGCTGGAGAGACCTTCACCGGCCAGACATATCTGGACATCAGCCCCGACATGATGCATGCGCATGTATATGGTGCGCCTGGTTGGGGACCCCTAATGGCGGCGTGTGCGTGGAATGCCAACTCCCATGACGCCCTGCTGATGCAGGATCCTCCCAAATACCCCGCTGAGGAGAGGAAACGCGGCGTGTGCGAATGAGAAGACAAACGTCGACCCGTTCCTTGTCTCGCTGCGGTTCCGGCTCACTTACGTTGGTTCAGGTCGCTGGTGGCCGCGGAGACTCCCTCTTTAGGGCCGTCCCGCGCGGCGGGAATAGGGGGAACAGACGGGAACACGATGCATCTTTCGGAGGCGGCCCTGTCCTCCGCCGGAACTCCTAGACACGCATGTGTGGAATCGCGATCGGCCATGATGTCACGGGCCATGAATTATACCCAGCCGTGGTTTTTTAAGAACCATTAGTCCGTTTCCCGAGTCAAGCGATGTCAGCCTTGCAACCTGCCTCTCTTTCAGAGACAACAATGCACGATAGGCCTCTCGGGTACGACTGTCGCAATCCCCCAAGTTCTTCTTCACCAGGGGGGCGGACGCGACCCCGCGCTCGGTGAGCCTCGTCGAATCGCATCCCTGTCCAGGGCACCAAGCATTTACTCGGCGAGCCAATCTCTCGCCCGTCGTCGCAGGGTGACCATCCTCAATCCTTCACCGGTATTGAGACAACAACAACACATGGCGCGGGAGCCGTTTCCTCACGAAGAGTGATTGGCAGTCGCCGGTGTCATGTCGTCCATTCTGGCGGCTCCTGTATAGCACTTTTTGGACAGCATGTCTCAGCGCCTCATCCACCTCGTCGGTCCCCTCCGTCATGTAAGACCGTCATCGGTAGGGCGAAAAGGCGCCAGGCCGCCTTGCAGCTGCATCTGCAGCTTGACACCCACACCGTGACGCATGCTCGGGTCCGCCAGTGCATCGTGCAACAGGAACTCCAAAAAGCTCGCCGTCCTCCGCTCACGAAGCTCGGATGCTGCGATGGCTGCTGGGCGGCGACACTGGTCCGTGTCCTGGCCACGGCGCCGGCCCCGGGCGGAATCACGGAGCGGACCGCGTAGGCAAAAGATGGCTGCTCAGCACGGGGCCTCCTGACGGTCTTTGCTGTCGTGGATCAACCGCATCGGAATGCGACCCTGGCACGTTGTGAATCAGTCCCCGATGCACCTTTGCGCTCTCCTCACCGGTCGACTTCCGACATCCCCGAGTGTCTTGCCCCGATGTGTAATCAACAGGCTCCCTTCGCGGCCAAGAGCTGACGGACGCCAGCCCGAATTCCAGGGCCGGCTGCACTTAATCAAAACCGCGGTCACTGATTGTCGCTCATTGGTGATTTTGCACAGGAAAAGCAACGCCTGCCCCCCCACGTCCGGCTGCGAGACCTGCAGGCCGCGACCGGTTGGCAGCAGCAGTGTTGGGAAGTCGGATGCGCAGCGCAGCGCAGCTGAGCCCGTCCAACTGGGCGCGGTAGACGACCGTGATCGCCTCCGGGCTAGGTAGGGATGCTCCCCGAAGGTTGCTGGTCCGTCGCAGCGGGACCGGAGAATTGACAGCGAGGCACCCACGGCCGCTCGGCAATGTCAAGCCAACGTCTGGAACCTGACTCCAGGCATGAATGAAGCACAGCCAGCATGGGACTCGCGGGCGATCATTCCCAACGCACGGGGCCCCAACACGTACGAACGAAATGGTATCAAGACTGGCTGAGACCCTACCCACTTGCGCTGCGGTAAAAGATAACCGAGAGCTGCGAGTGCGTCGTCGTGAGCATCTTTGCAGGTTTCGGGTATTATTCGCTTCCCCGGATTAGATCGTCTGACCGTCACCATAATGCTCGGTAATTACGGGTGAACCGTCTTGTCGGATGTCGAGGAATCCAATGGGACGGGCGTGACCCAGACCTGCAGCCGGGGTTGGCATTGCTTCCGCAAGGTTTACGCTCCCTGCTGCGCGGTCGAACCGCGGAGTCAGTCCAGATCAGGCTGCTGCGCTCGCTGAGCCCTCGTCATGGCCCGTCATGGATCTGCCTGCCGAAGACTCTATGTAACGCTTCAAAAGGGTCAGTTCCGACCAGTCCCTCACAGGCTCACGGGTCCGAGAAAAGCTTATGGCCCATCCATCTCAGTCCGCAGACATCGAGGGGTACAGGACTCGACCACGTCAGAGCCTGCAATCTCTGAGCTTCTGGCGTCCTCGAATTATGACTGGCGATGGGGCACACGCAGCGCCGTCTTGGTCATTTGCCTGCCGGTCCTGTTCAGCTCGATCCTCCGATGATGCCAGTCCCGCGACCTGCACTCTGATTGTCTTGGAAATCTGCACCTTGGGACAGCGGCGGCAGGGAGTGGCGGCCGTCGGCCCCGATGAGGGTGTGGAGCCGGACGCTCAGCCTGTGGAAGTTTGAGGTTTCTTGAGTCAGTTTCTTGGTACTCGGCCGGATTGAATTTTCAATGGCGGTTTCAGGAGGCAAAGAGGCAGCGTTGCTTGAGCGAGAGATTCGCCTCCTTTTGCACATCCTCGCCAGCATGAAGAGACGAACGTTGAGATGATCACCGGTGGGAAGCCCAATGGTGCCCAAGGTGGAGAGGTCGATGGCCTACAGTTCGGTCGGGTGTCTAGCCAAAAGGGCCATGATGGTGTTGTCGATGCCTTCCAGAAGCCGCGCCAGAAAGTCAGTAGCGAGAGTCCGTGTAGGCACATGACTTTTGAGGCTCCCGAGCGGGAGGGCACTTGTCGGACGTGCTCCCTGGGGCCTCGTCGATCGTCTTCCCGTGCCCGCCAATTGGCACGTCGCGATCGCGTTTGCGGAGCGCGCGTGATGCAGCCCGAAGACGGTTGTTTTGTCTTGTACCGCGGCGGCTTCGTATAGATGCAGCCCGTGGCTGTTGTTTTCACGGCTGCATTGCTTCGACCCGTTCGCTTCCCGGCGGCCTGGCAAGCTGCCGGGATCATGTGGAACAGCGGAAATGCCGGTTCTCGCCGCAGGGAGACCCATCAGGAGTCTCCCCCGTGAATCCGGTTCGATGTTTTTTGAGCGCTGGCTGTCTGATGGGTTGCTGGCCCTTGCCGTCTGAAGGCGCGAGACAAGGTCAGCCTGAACAAGCAGAGAGTCTATGCATCGTGGGAAAGGTGTGCGCGTGCGTGCCATGCAACCAAAAGGACGAAACAGCCAACGGGGCCACCATCGTGGAATCTGCGTCCCTTGCGACGCGACAGCCACCAGAATGCTCGTTGAGCAGCGCCCCAAGCTTGGCAAGAGCAATTTGACAGCTCTCGGGGTAGGATTCACAGGTAGTGTATCCGTAAAGACGGGATAGCGTCGCACCGCCGGCCGACGGTCATCTCGGAGTCAGTTCATCCCACTCAGCTAAGTTTAGCTAGCAGACGTGGTTTCCTCGTGTGGGTGGGTCTAACGAGATTTAACATGCCCATCCCTCCAACTGCCGGCGTCTGGCCTGACGGGACACTCCTGAACGAGTGGTCGTTGTCGTGTCTAGCCGTCGCCGTCCAGTTGCCAGCGAGGCGAGTAGTAGGGCAAGCAAAGCAAGGCAAGGCGAGGCTAGCGCTGCTCTATCCCGTGCTAGTCAAGCTGGAGACGTCGTTTGGCCGCGACTGACAGAGACGAGGTTTCGGCACGGGCGTTTCATGTCCAGATCGAGAAAGGACAATGTAAGGAACTCGACAAGAGGTGTGCAGGACAAAAGTTCTGAGCTGCTCAATGACGAACGGAACGGCCGTCGCGGGCATTATTAAACAAACCATGGGCTGTGGCCACGATCGGGAGACTGGGGCGCGCTATTGACGACTCCATTCCGACTTTTGATTTTTTCTCTCGTCTCGCCCTTGATCCTGACTAGTCCGGGTCGCGGGAAGCACCCAGTTGGCTGATATGTGCACCCGCCACGCTGGAGGGTCTTGATGGCGGTCTCTGACATTATCTTGGATCCAGGTGAGGCTTGGGTGTGCCGTCTTTGTCCCTGGGGTGCATTGGACGGGAGGCGGAGGGCGCTACAGCATTGACAATGGTACGGTGATTGGTTTCGAGGTGCGATCAGGCCGGGCGTTCGTCGAGTGTGTGTGTGCGCGTGCGTGTCCGGCTCAGCGGTCGTTAGTGCGGCGGAAGAGAGACACTGGCTAGGAGATGTCGTTGCTTCGGCACGGAGTCGACGGGAGGCTGAGGCTGCACGGTGGCAGCAGGGCTGACGCAGATGTCGACGGCATCGTCGTTGTCTTGATAAACTTGGAACGCTAGCTGAAGGCCTCGACGAACGGCCATCCTGGGGCTCGAGGGCATCTGGCATCTGGCATCTTGTGGCGTCTGCCACAGCGCGGACGCCTGAAGAGAGCGGTGTATCGCCTGCCGCGAGAGAAGGAGAAGAAAAGGACAGTAGCCGACAAAAATAGACAAGATTTTCGGTTTCGCGGCCCTCACCGAGGCTGTTGATGTGACCTGGTCTTCCTGGTTGACGACAAACAAGGATGCATGATGGTCGATATTTAGGGGTGGCCTGTGAGCCTGAGGCAGGGTCAGGTAGGAGGCCGCAGGGACGCCGGTTCTCCTGCGGTACTTGTCGAATACTCTGACGGTGATGCTGTCGTGTTGTAGCGTCGTGACGATGGCACCCAGCAGGCACAG